GCGGGCGGGAGAAGTCGCGGCGGGGGCTGCCGGCGCTCCGGGTGCCTTTGTTCGGTGTCGGGGGCGGCTGGGGGACACCGGGAGCGGTTTGTGTCTGCGGACACAGCGTGGCACAGGGCACGGAATGGCTTGGCTGGGAAAGGACCATAAACATCATCCCGTTCCACGGGCAGGGACACCTTCCCTAGACCAGCTTGCTCCAAGCCCCGTTAGTTTTATAGTTTTACAGTTTAATAGCTTTACAATTTTATAGTTCTATCGTTTTATGGTTTTATAGCAGTCGATTGGATCTGTCACTTAGCTGGAAGTGGGTTTGCTGCCGGCGTTGCTGGATTAAGCCGCTTGCGATTGTTCTTATGAATGTGCCGTGCAATTTTTCGGAGATCTGTGTGGTTTTACTGGTTTTAAGCAGTTTGATTCTCTGCAGTGCCTCGGTGTGTAACGGGGTGCTGAAATCCCTCTGAGGAACTGCACAGAACAGGAGCTCGTCTGCTCTCAGTGTGACATTTTTCCTCTTTTTTTTCTGGTTTTTTTTCCTCTTTTATGCATAACTTTAAAGAGCTCAAAGCCTCTGCGTGTCGCCAGTAAAATTCCTTTTGTTGAATTGTTCTCCAGCAGGAACTGTAAAACTTAACAAATACTGTTTATTCTTGCATAACCCGGGAGCATGTTGGTAACTCTTTTTTGACCATTCTGTATGCAAATCCTGATAATTTGCTGTATATATTATAGATGTAAGTAGAGCAGAATGAATGGAGTTATTTCCTTTGATTTGGAGCAGAACTCTTTAATTATCTGCTTTTTAAAATTAAATTTTAGAGGCCTTAAATGTTTCAAAACCTAAAAGCGTTGAATTTTAAATGTTTAGATAACAAAATGGAAATGCATAAATATGAGCACATATTTTTTTTACTCTTTATAATGCGGTTGAATAGAAATAATGAAATTATTGCATAGTTATGTATTGTATACCCTGATATGGAAACATCATTTTCTTCAGTCTGTGACTATGAAGGTTAATTTTGAATTTTCCAGAGCTTTAGATTTAAAAAAAAATAGTCAAGAAATGCAGGTTCAAGGAATGCAGATGTGTGACCAATGTCTCTCTAGTTTCTGCAGTGTGAGCTATAAGGGAAAGTTGTTCACACATCTGCATTCCCTGATAGTGATCTTGTCCAACTTTGTTCTGTCATTCTAGGAGTTGGCTGTCTTTCATTCCAGATGTTTTCATGCCAGGTGATTTACTCCTTATTTCTTTGTGGACTCCTTATTTCTTTGGGGAGGTGAATAAAAATGATTCCTTCTATTTTCTCATTCTTTTTTTTTTAACCATAGGATTATAGGAGGAGAAATCTGAGGCAAACAGCTGCAGGGCTTGAGGGCCATGAGGGCTTAAAAATATAAAGAAATGTGTGTTCAGTTTCTTAATGTATATTGTTTTGAGGATGATTCTTGAGAATTCCCAGTATCTGCTGCCTTTCCAGTATTTATTTTGGCAGAGAAAAGGTGAAAGGTTCTGGAAGTGGCAGGGAAGAAACTGATAAAAGTTGACGTTTACTTTTTAAAGTTTAATAGCATTTTCATTTCTTCTTCTCCAAGAGCAGAGTGACAATGGATAAAAGCAGTTTGGGATGTTTTTTCCACCCAACTTAGCTGCCTTGCCACTTTCAAATGAATTTCATTTTCAGTGAAGTTTTGGGTGTAGTAATCAGGCTGTGCATCAGACTCTTCTATTTCTGGAGGGTGTATTTTGGAAGCAGCTCCATAAAGCCTTGGGAAGGGAGGGGGGTGTTGTCACAGCCCCAGAGGATCAGGGATTGAGTAGATCTCCTAAGCAGGGAAAGGAATTATAGGAATTATAGGAACATGGTGGGAGGACATGAGGGGAAAGAGAACTTTCCAGTAGATGAACTCTTCATATACTTCCCTCTTGCTCCTGCTTTTTGGCCCAGGATTTTAGGCTCCTGTGGAGCCTCCTGCCTTGTTGGCACAGAGCTGAGTGTGATCCTTCCTCCCAGCAAAGTTCTCCAGGAGAGCAGAGCTCAAACACTGGCCCTTGACATTTTTCAGAGTTTTACATTTAAACCAAACCCTCCCAAAAGCCTAAGTTCAAGGGAATTCAAATGTGTAAAAACATTTCTATAGTTCAGTGAGAACTGTAAGGKGAAGTTCACTGCACTTGGGCAGATGCAGGAACAAAATATATTCCATAAAATCGAAACTGTGCCCTTCCTAGAAAGAGATYTGATAGTCAGAAGTGCAATACGTGGAAGCAGAGGACAATCTAACCCCTGCAAAATCCTTTATCTGTGTGTGGGGTTGGATTTTATTTTGAGATGGATGATGCCACTGTCACTGCCCTCTGGATTTAACCCTGGAAAAGCTCTGGTTGAACATGAGAAGGGAGGTGCTCCTTTTCCACCCTCCAAAGTGAAAAGCTGAGCTCTGGAGCTCCAGAGGATTCCTTGTTCCTGCCTGGTAATGGAGCATCTTCTTTCCCTCTGGCAGGGAATGTTTTAAACAGCAACAACYCCCAAACTGTTCTGGCATAAAACACAAATGAATAACTTGCCTTCTTGACTAAGCAAAAAATTTTCAACATTTTTTGGATGAACTTGAGGGAAAAGGTCTTGACCTGCTGCGTGGAGGGGGAGGGCAGGAGAATGAAGTGTGTGCAGAAGGAAACAAAGCAGTTTTGCTGTGCTAACATCATCTCGGGGCTGACTCATAGGCCTGACTTTTCTGGGCATAAAATCCACTTACATACAATTCTGCTTGGCTGCACTTTCTTGTGATGAAACTTGTAGATCCTAATTATTTTTATTATTTTTTTGTGAGTTCCACTGAAATTTTTCTGGGAATTCTTTTTATTMTGTCGCTTGAAACTTGCCAAATGCCTCTCTGCCACTGCAGCCATCTGCARCTTCCTCAGCTCATGACTGGGTTGTGTTTGGGTGATTGTGGGGTTTGGTTTGAGATATTTTTAGTAAATATATTTTAATATTTAATATTAATATTTTGAATATTTTTAATAAATGTCTGGGCTTGCAAGGTGAGTAGCACTTTTCTCAGGTGAAAACCCCACAACATTTCAAAGCTCTGCCTAAGTRCTGTCGAGGGATTGCTGATTGCCTTGTAGTGATTTGGAAATGCTGTCAATTGAGTTGCTGTTAGCTGCAGAGCAATCATAAATAACTTTTATAATCCTCCGGGCTGACAAATATGCTCCAGAGCACTTACTCATGGGGAGGAGGGGCAAGGTGGGGTTTGTTTGCAGAGCAGCAACTTCCATATGTCATCCTTATCCCAAAGAGCTTTCCTTGGAACTTCAGGCACTGCAGGGAGTTTGCTGGCTTGCAGAAGAAATTAATTTTGTGAGAGGAGCTGGTTGTGACTGCTCCTCTCCTGCTTTTCTGCCATTCAAAACCTTGGTTTTCAATAAACCACAGTTTATGGCAGGGCATGCCTGCAGGTGAAAAACCAGGACAGAAGGTTGTAGGAGAGTTTAATCCTGGTTCTTTATGGCCTTGCAGCTTTGAACTYCCCAAAACAAGTTCCTGCATCAAATGGATGAGTCTGTGGGTGATGGATTTGGGTTTTTTTGTGCCATGGGGGGTTTTTGGTGGGGTGGGTGAGTGGTCAGTACTCCCAGGCTGAAACACTGATTTTCATTCACGGCTGGAATTGTGCCCAGAGCCATCWCTTGTACCCAACCCATCACTGTACCCAGCCTGAACTGAGGATTTCCACCTTCGATCACCAGCTGTTCTCCAATACTGAGAGTTCTTCAGCTTTGCTCTTAAAGCTGGGTTTATTTGATTTTAGTTTAAGTGATCTTCTCATATAAATCTCTGCTCAGGTTAAACATCTGAAATTTAATCTTGATATGCTTTTCCTTAGTGATCATCTACCTAACTTTTGCATTTAGGGAATGTTGGTGTCTTCAAGGAGTAGTTTTTAGTTTGGAAGATGAAGGTTTTTGGGGAGGATTTTTTTTTTCCTCCTGAGGAAATCAGCTTTGTGGAATTTACTCAAACTSAGTCATGGTAGGGATTGTAGGAAGTGTAAATATTTGTAGGGCTTGTGTGCTCTGTGCTAAAATACTGTTTCAGTTGTGTTAATTCTCCTCTCCAGTGAGTACTGAGAGCTGAATCTTTACTGTATCTGAAGACTTTTCAAAGATTCTGTACTATTTGTTCATTTTAAGCAGGACAATTTCATTAATTCCAACTTGGCTCTGCATGGTGAAACTTTCAGAAGAGAAAGTTTGTGATTTTTGCTGCTGTGGAAGTATGAACTACATGATTTATTTTCCTTTCTTTTTGAGCACTGTTCAGATGACCTCCACTTAGATTTCTGTGAATTTGAGGGTTTTTTGTAATGTTCAGTTATTTAAGGTCCAGTTAAAGCAAGGAGAGGTACATGAATAGAATGAAACTTGTCACAGAGGATGGATTGTTCCTGTGAGTGGTGTTCTGGCCAGACAGTGCTGGCCATTTCACAGGAAAAGAAGGGAATTAATCCTTGAGTTATATTTCCAATTTCATTTTGGTAACAGAGGCTAAAAGCTGAACTTTGAGTATAATATTGTGACAGCTGTTGAGTGGAATAAGCTTTGTTGCTGTGAAGGGGCAAAACATTTTCTTGGATGTGCTGCCAGAGAGAAACACTGCTCAGATGGATTCCTGTGTCAGGAATTCCCTGCTTTTCCCCACTCCTAATTGGGAATTCTGTCCTCTGGCTGCACTTTCCCATAAAACAGGGATGGGGCTGGAGAGCTTCTCTCAAATCAGGAATTTTCCAGTTAACAACTGGATTTTAGGAGGAAAAGGTTAAGTGGATAATGGTTTGRGGAGGGGGCAGGGAGTGGGCAGAAGGATCTTCTCCACTCAGGAATGTGTCCTGTGCTGCTGACAGAGATGGAAAAGCTTGGAGGAAACAAATCCTTTAAAATGTTGGCAGTACCTCCATGCTTGGAGCTCCTCCCAATTAAAAGCATCTGTGATTCAGAGTGCTCAGTGAGCTGRTTCAGCCCTGAACAGCCAGCTCTTCCTTCAAAATTCCAGCAGGGTGCTAGTATACTTGAAATTTTGAGAAGAGGAGTCACTTTTCAGCCTCCTTTATCTGAAAACCCAAAGCAGGTGAACTGCAGGTAAAATGAACACAGGTAAAATKATTGTCTGTGCATTAACTGTTAGAAATGAGGAAAAAAATGAAGATAAAAGTTGAGTCATCCATGCAGCATAATAAAGATTTATCTAAGCCAGTGTTGGATATTGCTGGTATTCACTGTAAACATGGCATGTTCTTAGTCCTTCTTGGAAATGGAATTTAACATGCAGATTTTGAAATTATKTCCCATCTAAAAGTTTTGCTCAGACGCTTATGCATGTGTACAGATCATCTAATAGTCTTTTTCTTCTTGTCTGTAGACATGAAAATGACTTYTGAATAACRCCATTTTAAGAAGCCCARCTGAATATTGGAYATTAGAAAAAAGTYCTTTACAGGAAGAGTGACAAAGCATTGGAATGGGCTGCCCAGGGAGGTGGTGGAATCATCATCCCTGGATGKGTTTTAAAAGAGATTGGATGTGGCACTTGGTGCTGTGGTGTAGTTGAGATGTTGGGCATGGGTTGGACTCGAAGATCTTGAAGGTCTCTTCTAACCCTGGTGACTCTGTGAAAAAGAAATAGTGGAAAGCTTTGCTTGTATTTTGGGGTTCAGACTTAATCTCATCTCATTACAGCTTGGAAAGACAATGTCTGTGTTGATTTATTGTAAAAAATTTCTAATATTTTTTTTATTCTTTCTCTGCTTGCCAGACCTTAATTTATTTCGGATTAGGATTCCCATGGCAGGTGAACTAGAGGATCACTTGGACTAGGAGGTGTCTGCTGTGCGGTGACTGTCCCAAGATGGTTGGGAAGCTGAAGCAGAACCTGCTGCTRGCCTGCCTGGTGATCAGCTCGGTGACCGTGTTCTACCTGGGCCAGCACGCCATGGAGTGCCACCACCGCATGGAGGAGCGCAGCCAGCCCCTCAGGGGGGACGCTGCCCGTGGGGACGGTGCCAGGGCCACGCTGAGGACAGCCCCCAGGGACAGGGACAGGGCCAACAGGACCCTGCCCTACAACAAGGACATGCCCCTGATCTTCATCGGGGGCGTCCCTCGCAGCGGCACCACGCTGATGCGCGCCATGCTGGACGCGCACCCCGATATCCGCTGCGGGGAGGAGACCAGGGTGATCCCCAGGATCCTGGCTGTCAAACAGATGTGGGCCAGGTCCAGCAAGGAGAAAATCCGCCTGGATGAAGCCGGAGTGACGGATGAGGTGCTGGATTCGGCCATGCAGGCCTTTCTGCTGGAGATCATCGTCAAGCACGGCGAGCCCGCTCCCTAYTTGTGTAACAAAGATCCCTTCGCTTTAAAATCCTTAACTTATCTCGCCAGAATTTTCCCCAACGCCAAATTCCTGCTGATGGTGCGGGAYGGCCGCGCCTCCGTGCACTCCATGATCTCCAGGAAAGTGACGATCGCCGGCTTTGACCTGAACAGCTACAGGGACTGCCTGACCAAGTGGAACCGCGCCATCGAGACCATGTACAACCAGTGCGTGGAGGTGGGCCTGGAGCGCTGCATGCTGGTGCACTACGAGCAGCTGGTGCTRCACCCCGAGAGGTGGATGAGGACTCTGCTCAAGTTCCTGCGCATCCCCTGGAACCAGGCAGTGCTGCACCAYGAGGAGATGATTGGAAAAGCAGGGGGGGTTTCTCTTTCCAAGTGAGTATGAGCCTTTCTCCTTCGCCTTGTGTTGTTCTAAGGGGTAAAATATAGAAAAAACGGTCATAATTTGGTTTGATTTTTCCCTAATGATGCCTTGGGCAGCTGATTTATGATGAATCTGGAAAATGAGAGTCATTTTCAGTTAATAATTTGCAATCTCACATCAATTCTGCTGAACAATTGTCCCGCTAATGTGTTACACTCGTTATAACATATAAACAAAYTTTTAATGGTCAAGGCTAAGTTGAATTTGAATATCTGATATCAGCTTTACTTTTCTCTAATGTGTTTTTTTTTAACTCCTAAGGGTTAGGGTTAGTGAATGAGGGTGCCCCAAAATAAACTTGAGCTGTTTTATCCAGACTGCTGTTACCCRTCCCAGCAGGATCACCCATTTGATTTCAGCAACGATATTGTTGTCAAGGCTAGAATGGCTTTGGAATTGTTTTTGCCAAGAGCATCCTYTTCCAGGAAACTCGAGAAACTGATCCAAAAGAATAGAAAGCAGAGCTGGCATGCTTTTCTCTTGGCGTGTGCTCCTAAAAGACCAAGGATTTTGATGAAAATTAACCTTGCTGTAAGCAAATCTCTCACTGTTCTGCATCYGTGCACCTGATTCAGCCACTTTCAGAAACCAGCCCTGCTTAAAAAGCCTAGATGAGTTTGTAAAAAGAAAATCTGATTAATTCTCTAGTTAACTACTCAGGTTTCTTTGCCACTGTTCACAGCTGAACAACTGAAATACAGAAGCTTTTTCATCTTTACATTGAGAGAAAGGTTTCGCTGTCTGACTCTTTATTTTGCGGTGGGAAAATTAAAGATTTTTTAAAGATTGGATTTCTAAAATATTGAATATTTAAAATATTGAATAAGAACTTTTTCTATTCCAGCAGCAAAGCCTRCCCAGGTAAATTTCTCAGCTGCTGGATTTTGAATATTTAGCACTGGCCAAGCGCTTCTGAGTAAGAAGCACCTTGCACAGCAAGCATATGCAGTTACAGCGTGATTCTATTTATTTAAACTCCAGTTTTGAGAAGTAAAAATTGGGAGGTTTTCTTTATTTAATGCCTAGGAACATGACTGTGGATTTTCTAATATATTGTAAGTGCCTGTGATTTAAAGCAAATATAAAATTATGATCAGTGGCTACAAAGAGAGCTTAAAACTCAGGTAACAATTATTTATTTACARTCTGGAAGGTTTCACATCACCATTCCCACTGAAGGAACAGCCTCCACTGTGTTCCCAGAGTTATCAGCAAAGGATCTCATCCTTTTTTTTTTTTTTTGGGAGTGTTGTTTGCCAGCAAACTGAAGCTTGGTGGAAATGTTAACCTGAAGCAGCTCCCTGGAAGCTGATCCATGTGGGAACTTCTCCCTAAATACCTGGGGTTTGTTGCTGCTTCAGCAACTAAAATATAAATGGRTGCTTGCCAAGTTTTCTTAAATGTCCTGTAAAAAAATTAACTGTGTGTAATCCCATTTCTAGTAAAACATTACTGCCTTACAGCTTCCAGGTTCAGAGTTTTTAAAAATTAATGGACCTTCATACTGTAAAAGGCATATTTAGTATTATATCAGGTATATTCAGTGTAACCTTACTGAATTCCTGTTAATATTTCTTGTGAAATCTGGTGGAATGAGGTGGGAGGAGTTGGGAATCCTTGTTTCTAAAAATTTAGAGAATGGGTTGTTCAAGGTAAAATGGGACCTCATGTTTATTTTTTTTAGTAAAACCTTCACATTTAAGATATAAGTATGAACACGTTCTTGTGACCCTCAGGTCAGTCTGGTCACAGAATTCTCTATATTTTTAGTATCTCTCAGCAGATGATCTATAGAAGCAATTTCTGATTTCAGAAGGTTCTGGCATTGATGGAAACAGCCTGAGTTATGGGTGTTATGTGCGGGTTTTAAGTTATGGTTTTTATCTTATCAAATACCCTTGCAGTAGATGGGGAGATTTGGTGTTCAGTTGTAGGATTTGATAAAGATTTCAGTGACTCAGTGATTCAAGGGCTGCARAAAACATGGTGAATATCAAAACCTTAAACTTCAATGTCTGGTTTATGGGATACAGCTGGAATTGTGCAGGGGGAGTGGGAGATTKCCCAGTCTCATGTCCTTGTACCACTAAAAACCTGCTGCTTTGGCATCCCAGCTGGGATATTTTGTAAAAACTAAAAAAAAAAAAAAACAGGCAGAGCCCCTGCTTTCATCATCTTTCCCTCACCTGTCAGACTCCAGATCTTTCCCTCAGGTTCAGCATCYAGTTCAGGTTCCTGCTGCTGCCTCAGGTCCAGCCTGAGATGCCTGAAGGTGTTTTCACATTTTTTAAAAAGAAATCTGACAATTTTTTATCATTTTCAGATATTTAAAAACATTTTGAGATGAAGATCCCAGTATCACTAAAAGATCTTTCCACGAGATAAATGTTCCAGAATATGTTTCTCAGGCCTTATTTTGATTTTTATCCAGAAGCACTGCAAGGATTTGTAGCAGTGTGAAATTTTCCGTGGTTTGAAGTTGCTGCTAGCATTGCTGTTGAAGGGACACATTACAGACTCCACACTCTAACCAGGATTGTTAACTGAGCTCTGCCATTTTCCCCCTAAGTGAAAGCAGCTGTGCTGACCACTGATGTAAAGAAATGTCAACCCCTCTGGAGCAATTTTTATTAGGTTTATTATGGAAATAGCTGTCCAGGCAGAATTACTTCACAATTGACTAAATTTAGCACGTAGCTCTYGTTTGATTCTGGTACAGATGTGGAATTATTTGGGGTTAGTCCTGTGTGCTGTGCTCCCAAAATTGAAATTCTTCCTGGGATTTTGCTGTTGAGCTGGAATCACTGCCATAGGCACTAACAATTTCCCCAAGAATTGGTGTTTCCTTGTTTTCCTGTTTGCATTTTTAGTATTTCTTCCTGTCCCCAATCTGTTTTCCCCCACAATCCTCAGAAGTTTTTATCTGAAGAATCTTTCCCACAAATTGTTTTCTTTTCCTTCCCACCTTGACTGAAGRAACACAAAAGGATTTATGCAGACCAAGTATGGATATTTTTCAATCAATTTGGGAGCAGCTCAATGCAGTCCTTGCTTATCTCTTCCTTATCTCTTCCTGCTGTCAATCACCAGGAAATGTTTCATKCTCAGGGTATTGTTACCAAGGACTAAAATGAAATGACACTTTTAAAATGTGCTTTGACATCAGGATGAGGTTTCCATATGAGTACAAATTTTGGTCCCATTTGACCCCAACAGCCATTTTTGCTGTTAGCCCAGCCCATTTCCTGGTTCTCCCAGTATCATTCTGATTTTGAACAGTCAGATCAATTTGCAGTTTTGCTGAATGGATTTTGGGTTTGGCTGCCTCTGTCTGGGGACCATAAACCTTAGATTTTTCCAACACCTTGTGAGGATTTTTCCTGATTTTTCCCAATCCACCTCTCACCTCCTGACTGTTGTGSTGCTTTGACTCCAGCCCTGCTACTTTGAATTTCTAAAACTCCACTCTTAGWACTTCTTTTCTGGCAAATTTGAGGTGGAGTCTGATGTTCATCTTCTAATTAGAAAGWTTATAAAGGTGGTGCCCAAACTTTTTCATTTTCCATCCAGACTTGTGAGCTGAGRCCAACAGCCCTCAGGAAGGTTGAAATCCAGACAAAATTCCCATACTGAGGTCCTGCCTTTGGTTTCAGTCACTGGCGATGGTTGAAGAGGATAAAACTGAAAAATTCTGGGATTGTTTTAGACTTYTTTTTTTTTGTTTGTCAGACCCTCTTCAGCTTCCATGAAACACCAATCTGAAGGCCCTGTTTGCAAAACAGTTTCCTTATGATCATTTCCTTGTYTGGTTTGTTYTTTGTTGATWRTWTTTCAATTATTTCACTTTACTGACYTTCCAGCATTGGATGACTGATTTCCTTCCTYTGTYCTGGGAGGATTTWAGTTTTAATGAGGAGTAAAAAAGARTAACAAGGTGAACACTGGGGACAGGTGTGTGCTCAGCATCAGTTTTGAGGCAGATAGAAATAATCCTTTTATATATAAATAATGTCCAAACTCTTACTGAGGTCAGAAAAAAAAGGGCTTTAAATCATTCAGAATAAAAACTCATAGAGTTTTCARTTATTCTGCCTGAGTCCTGTTCCAGAAATCAGCATAGTAAAGAAACTGTGTMTCTTACAATTTGAAAGGAGCAAGGAATGTGGGAGAATGAAGCAGTGCCAGATTTCTTCCCTGGAACAAGAAAACACAGCAAAAACACTCCGGAAAAACAGAACAAAAAAGAAAATTACATTAGRACTGTTACTAAATGAGCAAGAGATCAACTGTTTTTTAAATATGCCTCTGCTGTGATTGTGCATTTGCCTTTAAGAGCTGTGTTAGTGATCAAACAATCAAAGGAATGGTTATTAAAAAAATACTTCTGTAGTTGATGACTTTCTGTCATCTCAGGTCTCCCTTTTATTAAACAAGGAAAAGATGAATCACAGAACGGCCGGGAGAAGAAATAACACAAGGATTGGAATTTAGARTACAACTTTATAGAGCATCCCAGACAATGAAGCAGCAAATGTGGGAATGTGCCAGTGGGCAAACAGCTTCTGTGTAGGTGTGTGCTTACTTCTCACTTTGCAGCTCTTGGGCTTTCTCTGCTGCCTTTGATGGAATAAAGAAATTCAGCACAGTGTGAGAGCCCGAAGCAGGCAGCAACTGCAAATATGGTGTGAATTATTCTCATTAAAACTTCACTTGCCATCAGCTCTGTAGAAAATACAAAACTTTGAGTGGGAAGTAAAAGGGACGGGGAAAACAAAAAGCAAACAAAACAAGCTAAAGGTCTTAATACCATTGCAGAAATATTGGCTGGAGTAGAAAATACAATTTTTTTTTCTCCTTCCCCAGGGTTGAAAGATCCACTGACCAAGTGATCAAGCCAGTGAACGTGGAAGCGCTGTCCAAGTGGGTTGGGAAGATCCCTGCTGATGTCCTGCAGGACATGCCAGTGATTGCCCCCATGCTGGCCAAACTGGGCTACGATCCCTATGCCAACCCACCGAGCTACGGGAAGCCTGATCAGAAAGTGGTGGAAAACACAAGGAGGGTAAGGCTTTTGTGGGTTTCATTATTGCCTAATGGGAGCTGTGGAGCAGGAGTCTGGTGTTTGCTCTGGGGTTTTTAAGTCTCTTTCTGATACTTTTGGATACTTAAAATGTGTTTTCATTTGAGGGGAAAGAAAATTATTTGGGATCTTGAGCTGTGCTGCTTGGTGTGTGGAGCTGAAGCTCTTCAGGGAACTGGTTAGCAGTGGAAAAAGTTTTCTTGTCTGGATGTCAGACTGGATGGATGAGCTCAGCTTTTTATACACGAGGGTTGGCAGAAGCTCTGCCACAAATTACACCCCAAATACTTGGTAGGGTTTGAAAAATGACCCATAGAAAACAGCCCATGATGATCAAAATGTCTGAGTTTTCAGTTCTTTGGAGAACAAACYGAAGATGGAGAAAGGGCTGGTGCTGATTAGCCTAAACTTCAGGATTTTAATCTGGATTTAATGGTGCTGGAATTTGGGTTGTTAGGCTATAGAGTTGTTTATCCCTGGAGGTATCCATTGAAAAGCTCATTACCATTGTTGGAAGGAGAATTAATAACTCTGCTTCTGTTCTTTTGGGCATGTATAGTTTATTAAAAAAAGGTGACTGCCGCAGCGAAGTAATCAGGGAAAAAATGGAATTAAACAATTTAAAAAGAGTGTCTTCCACCAGATTTCTGAACCTGAAAAAACCCTGGTTGGGATGCTGATGGGATAGATGGGAATGAAAAAGACGTTGGGGGTTTTGAAGCCTTTAAACACTTTTGCATTATTTCTTTTTAGAAGAAATGGTGTTAAATATCGATCAGTGTATTAAAGGCTGCTTAGGTTTGTTTTAATTAATCGCTGATAGCATGGAAAAGGTAACTCACCCCTTTTGGTTACAATTTATAAGTTCCCTGTTTTAAAAAGCTCACAAACAAATTAACTTTTCTTTTCTCAGTTTAAAAAAGTGTTCAGTACTACAAATTGCAAATTGTATTGGTTGTATCTCCCTGATAAACTTGACACAAGTTTTTACAGCCTGGTGACCTTTCTGAGGCCTCTCCCTGGGTGTGACAAGCTCAGGCCAAGCTGTAGAAATTGTCTGGATTTCTGTGTTTTCTTGAAATGCGTTTGATTTCAAAATGCAAGAGAGAAATTCAGGAATTAACAAAGCCAGGAGCACCTCTSTAAAGAAATGAAAACCTAATTTCAAAGGCTGAGGGTTTACTGAGGCTTTTTCCAAGTTTGCTTTGAAGGGTAATTTGTTTGTTTACTGACATTAAGAACATCTGTTAAAAACTGAAGCTGATGTCAATATTGCAAGCATATGGAACCCTCATTAATATTTTGGCTGGTATTTTCATCTCATAGCTTTACTTACAGCCCCAGACAGCATTTTAATACCCAGCATATATTTTTAATTGCTTGTTCTTTGACAAAATTACATTTGCATGTGTGGTTTGTGCAGATAGAAATGAGGGAGGTGTTCTAAATGAGTGCTAAAAGCAAGAGAGTTAAAGATGGTTCATCTTCAAAACTTAGAAAAAAAGAAAAACCGAATTTTTCTTTAGAGTGTGAGTTTGGGCAGCAGAAACAGCTCTTGTGGGTTTCCCTTCCTCTTCCAGGAAATTCATTCCTTGCTGCTGCTGCTGCTTGGAGAAGAAAACATTTATTTAAATGGCTAAGAAATAAATCAGGGTTTTTCCAGCCTTTTGGAGCTGCCACTGGGCGAGTTCAGTGTGTTCCTGTGTGCTCTGAGCTGGTGAATTTGTAAATCATTGTAGCACTACTTCTGCTCCTGCTTTCTTTCAGTTTCTTCACCTGGGATAGCCTCTCACAGAATTTTGTGCTGGATATGTTGTTGAATATGGATAAATACAAAATATGGATGAAATTGTCCAAAGAAAGCCTTTCCAGAGTTGCAGCACACACAGAATATCTGGATCTTGTTTTGAGCCATTTATTGGCTCGTTTTGTGTTTGGAAGCAGCTCTCTTACATTTATATTTATGTTTGTGGGCTCCAAGGCTGTAAACTGAACACAGAACTTTGATTGTATTCATTGAAAACAGATAAAGTTTAGACTTCTAAAGCYGAGTAAAATCTGTTATTTCTTGGAAAAGACCAAAAATTGCTCTTAACAATAATAATTTTAATAATTTCCACTTTTCTTAAGTGAAAATACTGCTCAGCAATTTAAAGGCTGCTGCTCTTAGTCCTTAGGTGAGAACCAACAGTGTAAAAACRCCTAAAACAAGGGCTGGTAGTGGAGAAAAATGGAAATAAATGGCTGCTGTGGTACAAAATATTMATTTCCCTAAGCTTTCTGAAAGTCAAACCCTGTTCTTTATTCCTCTTTTCTCCTTTTCTGTCCCCTGCTGGTGACTTCCTTATGTACAGCTTAAATATCTTCKTTTTTTCCTTCAGTTTGGAGACAAAATGATGATTTTCTCCAGCTAAAGGACACTGCTTAAATTAGAAATGCTCTTCCTTGTAGGTAATGCAAGGGAAGCWATGCTCTCTGCTAAATTTGGATTTTTCACTTGACTGTTACCTGTGTAGGACACCAAAACGCTGAGGTTAGCTCTCCATGCTCCTGCTGCACAGCCCAAAAATAATCCCATTCAACCTGTGCTTGTGTTTGACATCTCTGCTTTTGCTTTAGGAGCTGACAGAGCACGAAGGGAACTTCATCTCTTCCCGTGTTGCTCTCCCAGTTCCGCRGGGATGTTCAGAAATGAAACATCTCTGACAGGATCAGCACTGGAGAGTCACGAGTTGGACAGATTTTTCTGATGTTTTCAATAACAAAGCCATTAACTCGCTGTTGATCTGTTTCATGTTAAGCCTGACGATTTTATCTTTTCTGACAGTTTCTCTTGTCTCAGATAAAGAATGCAGAGCAGAGAGAGAACAACGTCTGGCCAGGGTTGTGCTGTTCAGATCTCTGCATGTGACCCCTTCAAGGCAGGATGGTTTGGCCAGCACTGAATATGTTGTGGTTTTCTTGTAATTCTGGTACTAATCTGTTCATTTGATGACTGCAAGGGTTCCTTCCTTATGGATACATAATTTGTTGTTCCCCCCGAGAGTTTGAACAAATTCCACATCCTGAACAGAAAGGAAATCAACATCCTGGAGTAAATGCAGTTTTCATYTGCCAATTATGCAGAAAATGCAAATAATTAAGCTGGCTGAGCTGGAAGCCCAATCTCTATAGGGTGAAATACAAAAATGCTTCACTCCTCATTAGAGCAGTGTGTGATATGTCCTTATCAGTGCTTTGAGATGGTGTAAAAGTGAATGTCAGCAGTTTGACAGAACCCACAGARGAGGAGAGCAGCTCCCAGCTGCACAGCTCTGCCTCCTGCCCAGCACAAACTCTGCTCTTGTGTTATGGTTGGCACTGGGCTTTCCTCTCACATCTGTCATGAATTTCATCAGATTTTCTTTGGCACGCCCTTCCCRCTAAATCAATTTGGATGCTTGGAATACACACTCCAGCAAGCTCTTTTAACTTCTTCATGGAGCTGTGCTTCTTGCCCTGCAGAGATCCAGAGGTGGAAATTACAGAACTCCATAGAAAGAGCCGTGRGTTTCACCAGGACTCTTCAAATACACGTGGCTCTTCTGATGCCATCCCTGAGCTGTTCTCCAGCTCTGCTTTATATCCTGATGATGGTGTTTCAGTCCAGCTGATGGTGTTTGATATCCAGCTGATGGTGTTTTGTGCCTAGCTGATGGTGTTTTATATCCTGATGATGGTGTTTTAGTCCAGCTGATGGTGTTTTGTATCCAGCTGATGGTGTTTTGTATCCAGATGATGGTGTTTCCTATCCTGCTGATGGTGTTTTATATCCAGCTGATGGTGTTTTGTGTCCAGCTGATGGTGTTTTGTATCCAGCTGATGGTGTTTTATGTCCAGCTGATGGTGTTTTGTGTCCAGCTGATGGTGTTTTCTGCATTAACATCTAGAGGAAAAAACAGTTTATTCCCTCTAGTTTCATGCCTGGTTTCACTTGTGAGGAACCAGCTCCTGTTAAGAGTCCAAACATCCATGAAAACCAGGATTTCAAGAGTTTGTCTTTGAGATTTGACTCTGATAAAAGGTACAAAGTGTATTTATCCTAAGGCACGAGGATAATTGTGCTGTCAGAGCTGTGTGAATGCCCATCTGCTCAGTGTCTCCATTTTCACTGATTAACCTAATCTTAAAGGCATTTGGCTTTGTGAGCATTTTCTCTGATTTTTCAAACAAAATCTGGGGAAWTATTTCATCTGTCTTGTGACCACAACAGCACAGACCTTCTCAGTGTCCTATAAATTYATTTAATATTCCCTTTAGTGGGTGTTTCTTCCAACATAGGGATCTCCAACWGCACAGTTTTTCTCCAGAGGTGCTGCTATCTCATTTTTTACAACAAAACCCCTCAAAAACCCTTAACTCTGCATAGATATGATTAATAATGCATAAAAACAGTTATTCCCAATCAAAATGTGAGCTGACATATGGGTCATATGGATCCCCAACGGCACAGTTTTTCTCCAGAGGTGCTGCTACCTCATTTTTTTACAACAAAGCCCCCCAAAAACCCCTTAACTCTGCATAGATATAATTAATAATGCATAAAGAGAGTTATTCCCAACCAAAATGYGAGCTGAGGTGTGGTTGTAAGCTGCCTTTTGGCAGCTGTTCATGGGTCTGTGTAAAATCCTGCTCGGTCTTGTCCCTCCTGGGTAAACATTTRCATCTCACATGGCCCTTCCTTGGCAGGTCCAGCAGAGGTGAAGAATTGGGTCAACCTTTAAAGCTGCCTTAAAAGTGAAGGAAAATCTGAAATTTGAGGGTACCTCTGTGTGCTSTGGAGTAGAGGTTTGGTTCTAGGAAGGGGCTCTGGGATTCTTTGCAAAGCAGGCAGGAAAATGGGTGAAAAAATACTATAATCTTCTATGTAAATGAATTATAATTCTGWGTTGCACTTCTGTCCTTAACTTCTCCCTGTGTATTTAAAAGGGTTTTTTTCAGGCAGCTGGATGTGAAACTTGTTTTGTGATCACTTCTTGACAATAACACGAGTTCAGTTTGGCCATAAGAATGTGTTTTGGGKTTTTTTTTTTTAACAGCTCAAATACTGCCAGCACTGAACAACAAACTGACACAGATCCCCGTCTTTTGGAATTCCATTTGGACTTGTAAAATAATTCCCTTAGAAATGGTAAACACCATTTCTTCYCAATTTTACTGAATTCTTGCTTAGACTGGAAATAATTCCAATATCCTGCTTCTGTCTCTGTAATGCCACTGTGAGTGATGTGTTTTAGACTTACAAATTGGTCAGAATTGAAAGAATTCAGAATCCAAAGCCTCTTTAATTTCTTTGGCTGCAGATGGAGTAATTGTTTTTAGAATTTCTGTTGATTCCTGAGTTTGATTCCAAAGGGACCACTTAGAGTGTTTTTGGGAACTCCTTTAAACCAGTTTCTTTGCATTCTCCATCCTGACAAAACCAGCCTTTAGGAAATGGTAATTCCAAAACAGAATTTGTGTGTTAAACCTAACCTTGGGCCTGCCACTGCTTTGATTTGCCTTGGTAAATTGTGCTGTGTGAATGATATTTTCATATGAATCATATCTTTCCAATATCAGTATTCAAATACTCAATATCAATATTACAAAATCAATATTTTCAACATGAAATACCCTCCAAACATTTGCTTTCCAGTGACATTATTTTTGCTGATGGATTGGTTATCTGTTATTAGATGCTTATAGGGATAAATGCTGTTCCTACAAAGGTAAAGTTTTTAGAGCAGACATAAATATAGATGTGGAATATAAACATTTAGACTGAGTCATAATTGCAGGAAAAGGAAAGGAGAAGGATTCTGAAGAGCAGCCTCGGGTTTGGTCCCTCTGGTTCAGTCCCAAAGTGCTGTCACCATCAGTATTAATTGTTTTTAAGAATTCCCAGGGGATGACTGCCAGAAAAGGTGAAGGTTCCTGACTGTTCCTTCCAACATCAGCACCATTTAACAAAAAAAAGAATGTTTTTTTTTCTTGTGAACCTTACTTAGGTTACACTGTAACATTTTTGTTGTGATAATATTGTTTTATAACTTCCATTCCTGTTCTCTAGCCCGCATTTTAATGGCTTGGATAAAAGCTGAAAATGAGAAATCCTCTCCTTCGTTTATAAATATTTATAGTGAAACAAGGCTCCAATAGCCACACACTGAATTTCTGCCCAGGGTGACTTTCCTGAATGTTCCCGTGGGAATGACAATGGCCTCTGGCTGAATAGGGATTAGAGTTGTTCCTGTTTTATCTAAAACACGGAATATCAGAAGGCACAGAGAGTGTGTGTGTGTGTGTGTGTGTAGTAATTCCTGCTCTCTGGGGTTTGGATCCCAGGGATGGATTGGGGTGGGAGCAGCCAATCCCAAATCCATCCCCAGGAGTCACAGGATATGCTGGGATGAGGCTGTGCCAGGCAGGAAATTCAGAGCTGACTCAGCTGCAGTCCCAGGCCACCGTAGAATATTGACAGGCTGGGGATGGCTTTGTATTCATCTGCTCACAGGAGAGCAGAGAAAATTGTTCAGAAAYGTCCCCTGGCTTCCTGCAGCTCCTTCCTGTGACACAGAGTGGGGAATGCAGCTCGGAGCGAGGCTTTGGGGAGCCCCATTGCTATTTCTTGGCTTTATGGAATTTTTCTAAGTTTGGAGGAGCCTCATTGCCATTTCATGGCTTTATGGAATTTTTTTGAGTAGCTTTGGAGGATCCCCATTGCCATGTCATGGCTTTATGGAATTTTTCTGAGTAGGTTTGTGCCCTTTTTTAATTTTTATTTTTAAATTATTACACAAGACGACAAAAGTCATTGGGATGGTATTGGGTATTGGGATGATCAGTCTTTATGGTTCAGCAGAAAGGATAGTAAAGCCCTTCAAGTACACTTATTTTTTTGGGAAAAAGAAGAACAAAATACTTTTTTTGTCCCCTTTTGGAATGTTTAATCTCAGAAGCAAAGAGCTTTTAAAAATTATCCTCTAGAGAGAAGACAATATATTGCCAAAATGTTTAATGTTCTAGCATTACTGGATGCTAATAACACAAAAGAACCTTTTTCTTCKTTWTTCTTTTTTTTTTCCTTCCCTTAAGAAGCTCTTCAGCATTTCAAACAATAGTGAATGAGTGCTTTGAGTAGTATAATTTTTTGTTTGTTTCTCCAGGTCTACAAAGGTGAATTTCAGCTTCCTGACTTCCTTAAAGAAGTGCCACAGGTACAGTATTGAATTCATTTCCTTTCTGTGGGTGTAGCAGCAAATAATATCAATCAGCCTTTACAAACCAGTTCTTCATGAGCTTGATTATMTTGAACTCAGCATCCCAAACCTTTCCTGAATCTGTGGAAAACTCCAGAGTTATTAGAGTGGTGTTTGTCAACCTCAGCTGCCTGGATATTGCTGTGAAATGGAAAAAAAAATTGAGACTTTTCTGGACCAAACTGCAAAGTTTGTTACTTGTAGAGGAGTTTTATCTTTTGTTACCTTGGTKTAAAGCAAGTCTAGTCCGAGGGCAGAGTTATAAGTACTGAGAGATTTTAAAAAGAAATAMGAGATGTTATCAAAGCAAATAAAACCAGCCATGGATGGAGTGGTGTTGATTTAGTAGCCAAGTGAGCCATGGAAYTTCAGATTTTACTGAAAATTCATAATTTGGTACCCCCCAAATGCTGTTTATTGTCATCAGTACCCTAAGGAACCTGCAGAAAACAAGCAAAGTCCTTGTCATGGAGCTTCCAAACTGTAGGATCTTGTGGATGTCAGAGAACTGTAAAATCCAAGAGTGGTTTGGGTTGAAGGGTCCATRTTTTTCCACCCCTGCCACAGGGACACCTTCCACTATCCCAGGTTGCTCCAAGCCCTGTCCAGCCTGGCCTTGGGCACTTCAGGGATGGGACAGGTTAAGAATACACAGGAATCTACCACAGACAAAGCATTTTGACTTTTCCATTTGTTCAAATAAAAAAACATTTGATTAAAAAGGAAAAYCAATTTCTTTTGTTCCAGCCAAAGAAGACAGTAGAAAGGAAGTCCCGTGGCAAGATAAACTGAACACGGAGCAGTAAAGTGCAATAGCTGTAGTGTGTGTTCCATGTTTTCAGAATTTAACCCAGCAAATCTTTCTGAGCAGCCTTTGTGTGATCTCTAACGTGGGCTTGGCTTTTTTTCCCTGGATGTTTTCATCACTCAGTGCTCGTGCTTTGCTCAGCTGCTGGAGAACCATCCAGCCCTGTTGCTCAYGGCGTTGTCCCCTGTCACTGCTGGCCCCGGTGTCTGCTCCGTGTGTGCTGCTTCAAGGTCCTGGCAGGATCACTCCTGGGCTTCCTCATGGCATTGCTGGGATTATCCACAGAAAGCTGCAGCAGTAGGGTGGGCCTGGACAGGAGGGGAAATACCGCTGAGAAGGATTTATGGAAAATGCAGGGGGATCCTTCAAACCTGAGCACGCTGGGTATAGATGGTGTGCTAGCAAAAAAAAATCCTTGATTTGGGATAAATCCTGGTTTAATCCTTTAAATCCTCGTTCTGCATACAGTATCTGTCAGTTAAATAATGCTGTTTGTGTTTTCTGATTATCTGGTGATACCCAGAAGAATCTGGGCCAGTCTGAATAATAAATAATCATCTTCATTCCATGTGATAGAGAGGTTCCTGCTAAATTCCAGGAAGTGGATTGATACAATTAGCTTGGTTTAAATACAGTATTTACCAAACTCTGAGCAGATTTATCCAGAGCAAAGAAACACCATCTTAAAGATTAAAAATAAGCATTGTCAAATAATAAAGAATATTTCTTCAACCATAAAATCTTGATCAAATTGAGGCTGATAGTGTTCTCCTTTAGTATTATATAAAGATAAACTTAATGTAACTAAACAGCTCGAAGGTTTGGAGTACAGATATTGCTGTTGATGGTATTTATGTCCTCTAATGTAAAATAATTTCTTTCTAATTATTCACTTGACAGACTGAACCTATGGAATAGAAGGTACAATGGACATTTCTTGCACAGAAGGTAATAGAAGAGTATTTCTGCTCATTTGTTKCTTTTTATTTAGTTAAGATGATTATTTTTTTAGTTTCTGTAACTCCGTGGGTAAGAAAAATATGAAGGTATGTTTTTTTCAAGGAAACTGCTAAAGATGAGCTGATTTGTAATACTTGCTTTTAACAACTCATAGCCAGTATTTTCAATAAGCTGCACTTTAGTCACTGAATAAACAGTGACACGATTTTGCAGGGAGCTCAGTAAATTCCAGACCACTTAAGGAATGAATGATGCAAGATTTCCTGCGTTAATCCAGGATTTTTACTTGTCAACCTCGCTGTCAGATGATCTGGCCCAACAACAAAAGATGGCAAAATTTAAATCCAGTTTAAATATAGCCCAAAGCAACRTGCCCCACCAATATCCCCAAAATAGATCCTTACGTGGCCATAAATATAAATAACCCTAAAAATAGCCAAAAGCACTGCCCCGTGTAGGAATAATGGATCTAAAAGCTTCCCAGAGATTAATTGCTGGCCTTCACTTGAAATCAATAGAATCAATAGAAAAAGCATCATCTTTTTACACAGTCAATGTTAAAACGACTAAAGCACCAACCTCAGGTTGCCACTTAGCTCTGAAAAATGGATTCCAAAGTGCAATATTTCTGTCTAAAGCTGCTGCCCAGCTTCTGAGAAACCAAGCTGGGAACTTCCCAGCAGTGAATTCCCACTGTAGGGAGGGACATTTCCAGCATGGCACTGCAGCCCAGGGTCACAAGGGTTTGGGATGGAAGTGGAAAATCAATTTTATTTTGTGTTATGCTCCAARCAGTCTCTCTAGTGATAAACAATGGACAAAGCAGCCACATTCCTTGCAGGAATGGGATTTATCTTGGCAGTGACTTTTCACCCACTGAGACAACAATGCCACTCTTAATTCTGCATTATTTATAATTCCAAAATGCTGTCAAGGATAAAAAGCTGAACATTACCAGGAAAGCTCAAATATATTTCTTTTTCTTTAGATCAGCTGCTGCCTTTTCCATGGGAATGATCCCTCAGGCCTGTCCCCTGGGATCAGAGGTGTGCTGCTCATGGCCTGCTCTCTTCAGAATGTTGTCTCCTGTTTCTTTCATCCTGGTTTAGTTCCAAATTTTGCTGTTGTGAGCGCATGTAAACCTGTTAAAAAAACAAMAMAAAAAAAAATCACAGATGTTAATGTAGAACTGCATTACATTCGCACAACTATTTTTTTAAGGTTTTAAAAAAYGCAAAAGCAATGCCTGTCTCTGAAATTGCTCTTCTGTCTTAATTACAGAGCTYCATCTTCAAAGATTCTTTTGTTTCTTGTAGCAGTTTGGTTTTAAATGTACAAAGCTTTCAAGAGTGGTCTGTGCATGTCCTAAAAGATTTTTGGTGGAACAGCTGTTTGTCTTATTCATATGTGGAAATTGTTAAATATCTTTTATTTAAAAAAAAAAAAAAGTTGATAAATTACATGTACAATTACAACTCAATGATCTTTTGTATTTTATTTTTCAAAATAAATGCTTTAAATGTGATTTTTGTTTATTTATTTATTAACAGTTTTACTTCCAAGTTAAGATTTAAATAATTCAAGATATTGATATGTTACTCATCATTCAAGATAATGATGTAAGGAAAGATATGATCTCATGTCCTGGGTTTGGATCTAATTTTAAGATTTGCAATTTAATGCTTTTTGTTTGCTTTTAATAGCTGRGTGATGAAGAAATAGTGAGTTGGARTGTCCCACTGAGAAGTATAAAGAAAGTAATGTGGGATTTGGTTACTGCAGGAAGAAGTAGCTTAGTCCTTTGATTTTGTTCCTCAAAAGCAACTGTGTTCAGAGATGGGGGAAAACTGCTACTGAAACCTTGTGAAGTTGTATCCTAAAGATCAAAACTTGGCGATACAACGTGGAACGCGATTATTTTTGTCAGGTGTTTTTGGGATGGTGGTTGTCTCTCAGTTTCTGCTCACCTCGGTGGGTCAAGGCGCTGAAGGTGGCCTCAACCTTCCCCACTGATTTTGAGAGGAGTTCTTTCCAAATATTTGTATCTCCACAATTCCTCCTTTGAGGATCTGGCACAGTTTCGCGTTTCCCCCGTTTCTCTGTCGCTCCGTTTGGGATGATTATCGTCCATAACCCCCCGTGCTGAAGGACGCCTGGTGCCGTGAGGGCCGGAGCTTTTCCCGCTCCTTCCCCCAGCGAGGTCGGGCCTCCCCTGCTGCTCGGGGGGCGCCGCTCATTAACCCGGCTAATTAGCGCCCGGCGTGTCCCTCGGAGCTGCGGGGGGCTGAGGGAGAACCCCCAGCGCTGCCGGTGCCGCTCCCGCTCCCGCTGCCGGTGCCGGCTCCGCCCGCCGGGACCCGGATGGGCCCGTACGTGACGCGGGGGCGCGGCCGCTCCCCCCGGGCCGGAGCGGAGCGGAGCCGCAGCCGCGGGCGGGCACCAGGTGAGCGCGGGCGGGGACAGCCGGCCCCGCTGCCCTCATCCCTTCCTGCCTTTATCCCCTCCATCCCTTCCATCCCCGGCGGGGGTTTCGGCTCCGGTACCGACCCGCGGCAGGTGAGGGAGCGGCGGGGAGGCCGCCGGGCTGGAGGGGTCGCGGAGCGGAGGGACCGCGGCCGGGGCCGGCGGTGGGGCTGTCACCCTGGCAAGACGCGAAGTGAGGGTTAAGAATTAATTATTAATTAGTTATTATTTTAATATTGATTGAATTGATGGATTCCTGGCGTAGCCAGCGCTCGGGGCTGTGCTGCCCCATCCAGCCGCGCTGGGGATGCCTGTGGGTGGTGCCTCAGCTCCTCACAGCTGGCAGGCGGCTCCCAGCTCTAAAAGCTGTGGAATTTGTGTGAGGGGCAGTGCCAGGCACCGGTGAGCGCAGCCCCAAAGTCCTTTACCCACTGGTCACTGCCAGCCCCCTGCCAGCTCTCCGTGCTGTCCTGCTCCTGCCCTGGAAGGTCCCTGTGATGCAGAGTCCCATCCTTCTCGCTCCCATACCCTGTCCTTGCTCTCAGCTGCAAAAGTTGAGTTACACTGTCCTTTCATCATACTCTGTGTTGTTGTTTATGTCTAGAGATGCTGACTGTGTCCAGGACTTTCCARTCCAATGTTTAACACAGTTTACTGCAGCTCAGAGATGCCGGCCCCTCTTCCAGGATGTTTCTTTGCTATTCTGACACAGATTCATTAGAATTTACTGGATGTTGTGTCTTTTCACACCATGTTCACACAAACCTTTGATCATCTGAGTCYCTTGAAGCTGTCTGTGCAGAGACTGCTAAATCAGGTCTCATTGTACCCCAGTTTCTCTTTAAAAAGGGGGAGCCTTTCTGACAATCCAGTTAAAGCACATCTGGAAGAGTTACCTTTGAACAGAAGTTTGTGTGGGTTTCTGTGATGGATTCATACATCCGTACCTTGATGAAAAAGTCTTTGACTGTATAACTACTATGCAACTTTTTTGTAGATATTTAACTTTTTTTAGGTTTGTAACTCCACCAGCACTGGTGCACCCTCAGAAGGTATTTAAGAAAAAGTTGTTTGAACAAAATAACAGAGCAGTTGAGGCAACAGCAGAGCCTTGAAAAGCTGCTTTAAATCTTAGCATCAAGCCCAGCTTGATGCAGCTCAAGGGCTGCTGTCATTTCCTGGGGAATGAAGCCAAACTGGCAGGGCCAGTTCATTTGTGAGGGACAATAMCTGAGCTGTCCCCAGCAAAACTCCAGGAAGCAATTCCTGCATTTAAATGACAGGTGGAAGAAGTGGAAGGAGGCATTTCTGGTGGAGYTGGATGCTGCTGAGGTATGGTTCAGTCAAATATTTGATTTAATGATAATTTTGTTTATTGGTGGTGTCTTCTCATTAACTATCTGTTGATCTAGATCTGGATGTGTTTGAAAGGGAAATGGAGGCATTTATTTAGTTGAAATAAGTTTTGTAAATTTAGTAAGAGGTTTGACAAAGGAATATTTCTGCCCAGAGTTAAAATTAACGATTGCACGTGCTTTAAGTGGCAAGGAGAGGATCAGCCCAGGCTGGATGGGGCTTGGAGCAAACTCATGTGTGAACATGGCAGGGAGGTGGAGCTGGGTGATCYTTAAGGTCCAGTTCAACCCAAACCATTCTGTAAYTCTGTGATTCAGATGGGTTTGTTTTCTTCATAAAATGCAGGGATTAACCTCTGTGTTCGTTTCAGGAGGACTCTGCTCCTGTCAGCACCGCTCTGGTTCACTGCTCTGTGGGTGAAGAGGTGAAGCCAGCCTCGAGAGGGACTTCACTCACCTTTTAATGACCGTCAAAAAACAGGTTCAACTCGTCACTCATTAATCTTTTTATTGCCACTAAGCTTATTCTTGAAATCCTGCACTAATGTTGGGCTGAGAACTTGTGCACTAAACCTCTTTATTGAGGGTTATTTGTGTGGATGTTCCAATGGCAAAGGAGGTTGTTATTCCCAAGTAGAACATCATTAATGCTGTCTCATGGWTTTTTCCCCCTTAAACCTTGGTGTCATGTTGAAGGAGGATTATGAAAGAAGAAGAAAGATTCATTTTTCTCAGACTTTTAGTTCTGGTAGGTAAGAGGCCATTTTTGGTGCAGTGCCAAATGGATGAGCTTYCCCCAAAACCCATTCTGTGGTCAGTAATGCTGATATATTTAACAGAGTGAGTGCTGTTTATTCCCAGTACACTCCATTTAAGTGACATCTATGGGACATCCTTGAAAAATGCAGACCAAGAACACATTTTTGGTCAATCTTGGGTTCTTTTGAATAGTCTTAATAAATGGAAATAGCAGCCAAAGCACTGGTGTCAAGGGGCAGCATTGTAAATAATACATTCACWGTAAGTACAGGCTCACCCTCAATTTTTGACTGTGCATCTTATAAATGAAGCTTCTGCGAGCTGTTTCTGGGTGATAATTTGTTTGCCTCCTTAGCAAAATAATCTTTATATTGTGTATATTCTTTGTGAGGCATAACTGACTTGTTTGGATAATTGCTGATGTCAGAATAAATATTGTTTTAGGACAAAGATTAAAATTGTTRATAGGGTGTGGCCCTTCAGAAGCACTTCCATCCTTATTTATCTGCCTGTGCTTTGGGCTGTGCTGGGAAAATGATTATGAACTGTAAGAGGAGAGAAATTAAATCCCTCTCTGAGCTGAGCCCAACCTCTTAAGGAGCTGCAGCTTAAACAGAAATGTTTGAAACTTCACAGTACCTGCTTATCTATGTTATTAGGGTGTTGAACAGGATGTTTCACCTCAAATTTTGGTCTGATCAGGTCTCTGAAAAGTATCTGTTTTGCCCAGGAGCATCCAGGTCTGTGTGGGTTCACTGTGAGCTCAGTGTTTCCTTTAAGAGCTGAGATCTGACAATGTAACAATGTCTCTTAGCAGAATTATTAAGACAACATAATTAATAATGCCTTCTAAAATTTTATGTCATTTTTTTCCTGCTGATTTTGAGGGGGAGCATCTTTTAGTTGATAAATAAATGTGCCAGATGTGCTTGTGCACATAATCCTCCTCTTTCTATATTTTAGAACGATCTGAGAGAAGGTTTAGAGGCAGGTAAAGCTTTGGTGGTGGAGTATYTTTGTTAGGGAGTTGTGATGCTGCTGGAAAAAGGGATTTTACATAATGCAGTGTAAGGAGAGCAGCAGGGTTTCTTTTTGCTACTCTGCTCTTGCAATTATTATTTTCATCGTGCAGTTTATTGTCAGTGCATCCCATCCTCCGACTGAGGATGATGGACTGAGAAGCCTCGTAGGGGATAGGAAATTAAATTGGTAATTAGCAGAGTGATAAGCAGGGTTAAATATTTGTGTCTCGTGTGCGTGGTGTGATGTGATGCAGCGGGCAGGGAAACGCCTGCTTTCCCTGGCTCCTTGGAAATCCCGCTTTTCCCATTTCCCAGGGAATTCCRGTGCCCGTCCCCGCTCCCGGGGAGCGGCTGAAGGTGACAGACGGAGCGCGGGTGTCGCCAATGGCGGGGCCGCGTTCCCTGCATCCCGCCCCTGGCAGGGCCGTGTTCCTGCATCCCGCCCATGCCGAGGGACAGGCTGGGACAGCGGCCACCCAAATTCTCCCAGCAAATGACATTTTCCTGCAAAGCCGCGGCGGAGCCAATCGCTCCCTGCTCTGTGCAGCCAATGGATGCCGGGCTCCTCTTCCCCAGCCTCTGCCAGCGGCTCCGGGGTTGGAGGGCCTTGGAATAGCGGCACTGCTGCCCCCAGCCCTCAACAGCGGTGCTCGGCATCCCTGCAGCATCCTTGTCCCGGGARTAACGCCGCCGCTGTCAACGCGAACGCTCGGGGTGACGCGGGCAGCGCCCCGGTGATTGGGGTGATTAATTCGGGTAATTTGGGTCTCCCCTCAGCACTGCCACGGCCTCGTACCCGGCAGAGCTGCTCCCCAGAGCCAGAGGGATGGTGGTAGTCACGGGGCAGAACAAAGTGAGTGCGAAGCCGGATGATGCCATGTCGAGCTCGGACGCTGAGGATGATTTCCAAGAGCCGGCCACTCCCACCGCCACCCAGGCAGGACAAGCGCTGCCTCTGCTGCCTCAGCAGGTAAGGGCTCACCTGAGCGGGGGATGATCACAGCAGCACACAGAACCAGGGAGTTCAGGATTTCTCTGGGGGCCAGCTCACTTTCGTGTTTGAATAAAAAAGCACTGAGGTGCTTGGATTTATTTTTACTTGTAAGTTCCATCCATGTTGCACTTGAGAAATGCAATTAAGTGTTTATTCTGGTGCCTAAGGCAGCCTAGGGTGTGATAATAAGATTTTCAGCCTGATGTAAAGAAATGCAGATTTTTTTCAGTGTATAGTATAGTCTGGTTGTGTAAAGGAACCAACTGAGTGTAAAGTTGACCTGAAATATCCTCCCTTCTGTCTGTGTAAGGCTGGGGAAAGGGTTTTGTTTTGTGCTTTCCTTTCCCCAAAAGAGCCAAGAGGAGGCATTAATACTTCAAAATGAATGTCTGCTATTCCAGCTGAGTGATTTCTACTGTTTCAGATCTCCAACCACAATTAAACCATTCCCTGATTCTTCCCAGGAGCCAAAGCTCCCAAGTTTTACCCCTCAGAGGTCCCTGATTTGTGGTGGTGGGGCAAGAAACACGCTTTTGTCTCGGTGGCAAAGACTGGATGCTGTGCCTTTGGGAAGCTGTGCCCTTTGTCACCTGTCTRATGTCCTGGTTGCTTTTGCAGTTCCCAGAGGTTGTCCCACTGAACGTGGGGGGGATGTTTTTCACCACCAGACTGTCGACACTGCGGAGGTACGAGGACACCATGCTGGCAGCRATGTTCAGTGGCAGGCACTACATCCCCACGGATGCTGAGGGCAGGTACTTCATCGACAGGGATGGCACCTACTTTGGGTATGTACAGACTCCTCAGGGCGTGCTTTGAAGCTTCTTACCAAAAACTTATTTTTAAACTTAATTTTTAACAGTTTTTCCTTCGATTTAAATCAGATTTGTACAGCATTTAACGTTGCACGCCTTCAAAACATCACAAGAGTAATTCAGTTAAAAACAGTTTGTTGGCTGTACAACGGGAAAGGAAAAACCAACAGTGCTTTGAATTAATGCATTATCTCCTCTAGAGTATCTCCTTTCAAGGTATCAAATTGTTTTGGTTTAAAAAAGGGTTTGGTGTTGCTTTGCATAGGAAGCTCCTTCACACAGCGCGGCGTTTTAATTGATATTCGGTGTCTGTAATGAAGAGGAAATGGAAGAAATGAATCTATGATTCTTACACAGTTGGAAGTATTATGTTTTCCATCTTTAAGAAGGGTATAACTGGTAAAAAAAGCTCAAGCCTTAAAGAATTTATTTTTCTAAATTATTTTTGCTGATAGTTCTGTATTCCTTCACTTCTGGGTTTCCTTCCTAGGTGCTCAGCTTTTATTTTATATTTAATTAGACTAATCATGATTGCTAATGATTGAATTGCTAATGTTTGAATTGGGGTGAGGTTGTTAAAAAAGGTAATCAGTGTTCATGGGTTCAGGTCTTTGCCCAAAGCACACATTGCAATTTATTCTGAATTTCTTATTCCTTCTTCACGGACATTTCCTTATTGTCTTCCACAGACAAGGATTGAATTATTTCCAAAGCATTTTGGGGTTGTACCATAACCTGGGACAGAGATAGATTAAACCACTGTGTTTATTCTAAAATAAAGGTGGCTTTACATGTGGCAGTTTGCTGCAAAACCAGTTAATTTGTGATGTCAATCTCAATAGAAAATAGAGCTGGAACAGAGAGCCAAGTTAGCACGTGCTGTATTTGTTGTCAGTCTAAGGAAGATTGCAGTGATGCTTCTTTATTTGATAAGATTTTTTTAGTTAACAATTATAAAGTGATTTTTTTGTTTACTTGATAAAGTTTTTGTTGGCTAATACTTACTAAATRATTTCTTTCCCTACTAAAAAATCCCATTGCCTAACAGTGTTTCAGAACTACAAGGAAATTTTYTCCTTTCTTTTTCTAAAATTCTTGTTCTTATTCTACAAATGGCCCTGATCTGTGAAGAGAAACCTCCTTCGCAAGTGTCCCATCCATTCAGCTGGGTCTGTGTGGAATAAAATGTCCATGAATAAGGTTCTCTGGGAAAATTGAAAAGTTTATTTTATCCCAGACCTAAATTTGATATACAGTGACTCTTTCCCATGAAATGCTGTGGCCTCTCCTGTSTTATAAATGGTTTCCTCCACACTGAATGTTTTGTTTAAAATACACTGATATTTTTTCAAATGAGTTTTGATATCAACAGAGGCAAAATGTGAAATGATGACTGGGAAACTGAACGTGGCAAAACAGTTTTAAAAACAAAYGCTGGGAATCTGGATCATTTGTTTCAGTTACTGTCTCGGTAGAGCAAACAGTGAATATCCAGCGTTTCCTCTCCTTTCCCACCTGCGAGATTTTTGSCAGGAATGTGTTTGTTAATGATATTTTTGTCCTTTTTTTTTAGAGACATACTAAACTTCCTCCGATCTGGTGACCTGCCACCCCGAGAACGAGTGAGGTCAGTGTACAAGGAAGCTCAGTATTATTCCATAGGACCATTGCTAGACAATCTAGAGGATATCCAGCCTCTTAAAGGAGAAAAAGTTAGACAAGCTTTCCTGGGCCTAATGCCATATTACAAAGGTAAATAAACCAAGTAGCACTGATTGTTTCTTCCAGTGGGATTCCAGTGTTGTACTTCGTGCTTTCAGTCTGCTTTCAGCTCCCAAGCCAGACCCATTGCAGCTGGGACATTTAGGATGTGTTTTTCATGCTGTTTAGATCTTTGAGGTCCTGCTGCACCCCAGGGTGTGGATTTCTGTGCTTAAAAGAGAGCAAGATCAAGGCCATAATGTTATTGAGTTTGTCTGCATTTGTTCTGTCAGGACCTGTAGCTGAACAAACTCAAGGCCGCCAACTTCCCCAGATAACTTGGCCAAGTTTTATTAAGGAATATATTCCAAATCTGCTGTTCCTTTTGAGAACARTGGAAATAATTGAAGTATAACATTATAATTCACAATGCAGATTCTTGATTAAAAAAGCAATACAGCTTAACCCTGACAACAATTAATAATAGGGATAATACATAAATAATGGGGAGTACTCCTTTTTTTCCTTTTTTTCAAAAATTATCTAGTCCATCAAAATGACACTTCCAGAAACTGATAACGGAGATTGATTTGATTATTATATAATAGTATATAATATGTAATATATAAAATAAAATAGATAATACAGTGTATAATGCATAATGTATAATATATAATGTATAGTATATAATGTATAATACATAATGTATTATATATATAATGTATAATACAGAAAATACAGTATAGAAAATAAAATATATTAAAATATAATATGTAATGTGTAATATGTAATGTACAATATGTAAGGTAGAATATGTAATGTACAATATAAAATTTATATATTTTGCTACATGCTGCTAATATTAAGGTGAGAATAACTCACTGAACACTGCACTAACATTCCACATGAAATAATTGCATTTGATCTCTTTTCCTGGGTGATTCATTGTAATTCCCAAGCGTTTTTCCTTTGCTTTGCAGACCATTTGGAGCGGATAATTGAGATAGCCAAGCTGCGAGCCATGCAGAGGAAAGCCAGGTTTGCCAAGCTCAAGGTGTGCGTGTTCAAGGAGGAGATGCCCATCACTCCCTACGAGTGCCCGCACTTYAACTCGCTGCGCTTCGAGAGGAGCGAGAGCGAGACCAAGCTCTTTGAGCACCACTGCGAGGTGGACGTGTCCTTTGGGCCTTGGGAGGCTGTGGCTGATGTTTATGACCTTCTGCACTGCATTGTCACCGACCTGTCAGCCCGGGGCATCACCGTGGACCACCAGTGCATCGGGGTGTGTGACAAACACCTCATCAACCACTACTACTGCAAGCGCCCCATCTACGAGTTCAAGATCACCTGGTGGTGAGCAGGGCTGGAGAAACCCTAAAAGGACTGGTGGAGGATGGAGTTTGTGGCTGCTCACATTCCTTGGAGSCTGGTGCAGGGGTTGGGGAAACCTCTGGAAACTTGAAAAACCAGCCTGAAATGGGACTGGCGGCTCAGGTACCTTAACGAGGCACAAAACAAAATCACCTCATGCGAAGGATGGCTGAACATCTTCCAGAAGGTGCCACGGACCACGTGGATTCGGGATGGAATTGCAGATTTTTCCTGTATTATTGGGAATTTGGGGTGCTGCTGAAAGGTGTCACCAACCTCATGGCTTCAGGATGGAATTGCAGATTTTTCCTGCATTTTTGAGAATCTGGAGTGCAGCTAAAAGGTGCCACCAGCCACGTGGCTTTGGGACGGAATTACAGGTTTTTCCTGCGTCGTTGGGATTTTTTAGGAATCTGGGGTGTAGCTAAAAGGTGCCACCRACCTCGTGGCTTCAGGATGGAATTTCCTGCATTGTTGGGAACCTGGGGTGCTACTAAAGCTCACATTTTTCAGTTTTACCCTCTTAGAGGTGTTTTAGTTCCACTTTCGACTTTACCACTTTATAAAATTGGACAGGATGGAATTGCAGGTTTTTCCTGCATCGTTGGGATTCTGGGGTGCTACTAAAGCTGACTTTTTCAGTTTTACCCTCTTAGAGATGTTTTAGTTCCTCCTTCGACTTTGCCACTTTATAAAATTGGAGTCGTACCCAGCACAAAGATTCTGGAAATGTCATTTTGATGTAACAGATAAAAAAAAAAAAAAGGAAAAAAAAAGTATTCCCTATTTATTATTAATTGTTGTCAGGGTTAAGCTGTATTTCTTTTTAAAATAAGAATCTGCGTTGTGAATTATAATGTTATATTTCAATTATTTCCATTGTTATCAAAAGGAATAGCAGATTTGGAATATATTCCTTCATGCTTTTAGGAATAATAACTGTTCATGGAAGATTTGTGCCTGTTTTTAGCCTTAGAAATCCTAAATGTTTACAATATCTTAAAAAAAAAGCTCTTTAGAATCAGGTCATTTACAAAGGCTTTTGGTAAATGAGAAAACCCTGTATGTATCTTCCTATTAGCAGTAGTGAGAGGAATATTTAATGTATATTATTTTATTACTGACTCTTTTTAYATTCTGTGATATTAAACCTTATTTTAGACTGTAAGTCAGATGATATTAGACAAGTGCTTCCTTCACCTCACCTTCTTAAGAAAAATCTTAATTTTTATCCTTCTTGTTGACCCTTCCTGGTGTTGTTGCAGGAAAAAGAAAATTCAACCTCCATATTCAAATATTTCTCCACTCTAAAGCAGTAGGAAATTGCTTTCCATGCTGAAAGAGGCAGCCACTGCAGAATTGTATTTTCTTCAGAAGGTAATTTTTGTACTTCTGACATGAGCAACCACATCTCAAATTTTAATTACTGAATTCAGCCCAAAACTGAAAGGGAGAAAAGTCTGAAAATCTTATTGTTTTGTGAGGTTTGAAAAATTTCAACTCACTTGAAGGGGTTTCAAAAATAATCTTAAAGAGAGAGGAAAARTAAATGTTTGCATATTGCATTCMACTGGATTAATTAATCCAGGAATATTGCTTCATTAAACTGCTGACCAAAATTCTTAACGAACATTAACAGCAATGATCAAAATCCTCAGTTATCTGAGACAATTTTGAGAATAATTCGAAGAACTTCAGGATTGAATTGTCTTGCAAGAAAAGAGACTTTTTTTTTGCCTTGTCACCCTTTGAGGTGTTTAATTTAGGAATTAAATTGGCTCTCTGAGGTGGGTGTYTCTCTCCTGATCTCTTTGCAGATTTCCTTACAGAGGATCATTGTCAAGTGCTGAGTGTCAAGGCCAGAGATAAATTTGAATAGAGGGAGTTAAGCACATTTGGATCTAAATTTAAGTTTGTTTCAATTGTTTCCTGAAATAATGGCCTTTTGTGTGACAAGTTCATGGAGTTGGTTTTGGCAACCCAAAATTAAAAGTTAAACTGAGCCTTAAGTTTCCCTGCAACGATAGGAAGCTTTGCTTGGTTTCATTGCTGCCTTCATTTTTTTTTCTCCCCATGGAATCTCAAACTGCAAACCACAATTTCTTATAAAATAATATAAAATCTGAAGGCTGAGCCTTATGAAGTTTTGGCTGCTTGTCCATTTCAGATATTGAATTCAGGATTTTGAGCATATATTGCAATGGGAATTGCAGTTTTACTGGGATTTTCAGTGGGTCCAATAAATGTATTTAGGGAACTCTGCTTTGGATTCCAGTGCTCCTTGCAGAAATGRGTCACATTTCATTTTCACGCTGTGTTTTTTGGTTTGGCTTTAGGAATTTTCCTCAATTGTTGTTTCCTAAGTTGTCCTAGAGAAGCTGTGGTGACAAAATTCCTGTTTCAGTCATGTTTGCTATTCCTTAATATGCACATGTTGGGGTTTTATAACTTTTTCCTGTTTGTTGCTCCAATAATTAAGGAAAGCAGCCCAACCAAAAAGAAAAAATGAACATTTTGATCTGTATCAGCTTTGTCTTAACCCAAGTTCTCCCTCCTGAAGGCATCAAGTGCAATACTGGAAAGGCAAACCCGGATTTAACATGCTTTAATGAGCGCTGGGATTTGTGATTTGTGCAGGTTAACAATGTTTTCGTTGTTCCAAGCAGTCTTTGTTTACACGGATTCAGCTGCTCCTGCCTAACCTGTGCTCATTTCTCGACAGAAGCAGAAGGTGGATGGCAGGGGAGCTCAATCTGAAAACTGGGTTATGTAACGGGATTGATTTCTCTTTGCTGGGCCTGTAGCTTTTGAAATTCTACATTTGCGACACAAAATGTGAGTAGTTKATCTGCTAAATCCATTTTTGAGAGGATTGGTGGTTTTTTAATATCCTGAATGTTTTAAAATTGTCTAATTAAACTACAGAATACTGCTTTTTTTTTTTAAATTTAGGACTTTTCTTTTATATTTGGGCAGGCCAGAGTTTTGATAAAACATTTTTCTGTGCTCCCTAAGTTTTTTWGCCATTTTGTCACCTACAAAGCCACTTTTCCACTCTCACCCTCCCAAATCCCTGTGTTTGTGAGCAGTAAATGGTCTCCTTTCCATTTGAATGTTGGAATGGTGGCACAGTTGAGGGATATTTATTTAAAATAAAAAATAATTAACAATTCTAATTTTGCTGTGAACAAAAACATGTCAAGACCAATCTTTTTAACATTCCCTTTATATCCTTTGTGGAGGGGTTTTTAATGGGGAGCAAAGGGAGTGAAGTGAATTGGACAATTCCACAGCACGTGAAATATTTCTGCATCTGTTTTATGCTTGGAAAATAGGAAGGAAAAAAAAAGAATATAAAAGTGGAAAAAAAAACAAGAAAGGAAAATCACCCTTCTTTATGAAGCACTCAAAAATGACATGAAAAAGGTGTTTGTATACAGCAGCCACTTAATGGTTGTTGATTTCAAGAGTTAAAAAAAAATATGAAAAAATAACTTTTAGGCTTGGTGTAGAGTTTTAACTTGAATACCCAATATTCTGCACAGGAATCTGAAATACTCCTCGCTGAACTTCCATCCTCCTCAAGAGCAAAATGAAGGTGCCATCAGCTTTGATTTGGGAAGCCTTTGAGCCATAAACAGCTTCTCTATGATCCTTGTGGTCCATGTGCTKGATTTTTAATTCAATTTTGATTTTAACCTATAATGAAGGATCARTTTCTACACCCTCATAATTTCAATTATGAGGGTGTAAATTCTTTGATTTGAAAGCACTTCAGGTCTTAGTAACCTTGAAAACAAAAGCAGGAAGTTATTGCAGCAGGAAACTCTGCATCACCCCCTTTTGTGGGTTTTAAGGTTTAGGAAGTCTGCCTGGGAGACACCTCATGATGTAATATATGCAAATACCTGAATTCGTTCATGTGAATGTTTTTGAGATTTTGTGRTTCAGTTGTGTAATATTCTTCCCTGAATCTGGCAAGAGTGATAAGGGYTGAGTTAAACACTGGTTTTGTGAAAAGCCAGTTTAGATAGCTCCTTAAATATCTCCTGCCCTCATTTGTAAAATCATTCAWCCCAAAGGCTGTTAGGGTTACAGGAAAACCAGGAATCTTCCTTGGTTCCCCAGAGAGTCATGAGCAGAATCAGGGCCCCATTCCTGGAGAGCTCGCAGGGTCTGGCTCAGAGATCCTTGAAGGCAGAACTCAAAACACTCGTCATGAGGAACAATTTCAGAAGCACCTGAAGCTGGCCTTGCTGAGGGATTGATACAATTCCAGCAAACTGCAGGATGTGGATATTTTAAACTGCTCCGAGCGTAGCTTTGTTAAGCCCTGATCTGCTCTGAGTCGGTGCAATGGATGTTTTGTGATACAGAGGTTGGGCGCTGCTTTTGTTTGACCTTTTTGGTGTATCTCAGCTTTTTACCAGTGAAAGTTGAAGCACAGTGTGTCCTGTGCCCTGAGCAGTGATTTTTGGAAATATGGAAGTGGGAGGGAATTCGTTCTGCTGTGCATTCCCCAGGGACAACCCTCACTACCTCTACAGAACCTGGAGATCCTGATCCCTGCTCCCACATCCCCATTTGTTCGGTGAGCGTAGGAGGAGATGAAGTGTCTGGGCTGAGCATTCCCAGTTAATGACTCCAACTGGATCCCCCTGGTCCTCATCCCCTACCCTAACCTTGCACAGGTACAATTCCATCTGCAGAGAATTTCTCTCTTCTCTGCTGCACCCTCAGAGTTGTTTGCAAGGTGAACACTCAGCCTATTTTAAACTTATTATTAAACGAATATTTTAATATTACAGAACAGGTGACTGTTAGTTGCTGAAGAATCTTATTTATTGGATCTTGCTACTCTCAAAAACACCTGAATAAATGGATTAAACTAACTTACASCATCATCACTTTAATACACTCTTCTCTTTTTTTCCTAGTGACTGTTAAGAAACATCAACTCTTCTTTTAAGGGCTTACATAGGAATATGTATTCAGGCTAAAAACTTGTTTTTTGGGGGCATGTTGTGAGCTGAAGGATAACTGCATGAGCCCTCATCTGTTTTTTTTTCCTTAAAAAGCTAATTAATTACTGGTGCAATTAAAGGTCATGGTTTTCTAGCTTCATTTGGTATTTGCAAGCCCTGGGAGCCCTCAGGCTTATCCCTACTGCTCACTCTTGTTTAGAGATGACAGGGGACACGATGAGGGAGRTGATGGAAATGGCAGCACAGAAAAATTCCTGTCAGAGCTGTTGTTTCCATTGCAGTTGTTCTTTGTGTTYCTTCACAGATGAATATCCACCCCATTTGTGTGAGCCCTCCACTGCTCACCCATTTCTGTGTAAGTTCATTTTGTTGTGGTTCTGTGGGAGATAAAAAAGGTGGGAAAATCAGCAGCAATRGGTGACAGGGTGCCACTGCTTGAATCTGCTTTAGAGGACATTTATGTCACAGCTGGAGCTTTGTTTTCTGCATGGCAAAGCAGAGCAATCACTTGGGACACAACTGCCCCGCAGGTGAGGGAAGAATTCAGAGCAGAAAAATGATCTTTTAACTCATTATAGACTCTAGAATATATTTATTTCTAGAATATATTTATTTCACTTTCCTTAATGACTGCTTCACCCTGAACAATTTATAGACCCCACTGGCTTTAGGCTGTGGTGGGTATTACTGAGCCCTGGAGTAGTGCTGATGTAGCCAAACAAATATAAATTATTTCAGGATATTCAACACAGCAGAGAGAACCCATGACAATTCTCAGTTTTGGGCTATGAAAAAAAAACAAACCAAACCTCCAGTCTTATCTTTCTGCAAATAAGCTGATTTCAGAGGATAATTATATTCTGTTATTATCTCCTGTATATAAATCTCTAACTGGAAATCACTTTCCACAACAGCAGTTCTTAGTCGTTTTACTTACACAAGCTTAGTATAAGTTTACCTCCACTTTCACTGTGACTTTTATAAATGGATTTTGTTTTGCTGAATTATAAATTGTATGTGTCTATGCATTGTAACCCGTAATGCCTTTGAAAATCCAGCCTGGATGCTAACGATCAGGGTTTGGAATTCTCTCCAAATGTGTTTTGTTAATAATTATGTTGACGTGTGACATTCAATACTGTGAGTACTGCAGTGTATAATTTCGTAATACTTTTGACTTTTCAGTTCAGGTAATATATAGTTATGTTTTTTATTTAAAACACRTAGAAGAAAATGTGGATATAAAGGTTGTGTTGTGCAATAAAAAATGATGATACTGAAAAGTGTTGGAATTCTGGCTTATCTGGTCTGCAGCCACTGCAGTGCCTTTCCTCACATTYCCTAGGATTTGAATGTGCTTTGCCTGGCTGCAAATTAAAATTAAGACACAAATCTCTGTCCCGGGTTGTTTTAATGGCATTTAGGCGTTTATCATCCCTTCCTGAGCAGATGCTGTCTCCTCCGGGACACCGGCTGGGATCACATCACTCTAATTCCATCCTTCCTTCCATCCCTACCCATCCATTCCCGTGACAGAGCACAGGGACGGTCCCAGCAGYCGCCCCTGGTTGTACAATGCTGAAAAAGAACCTTTCTGCCTGTGTTCAGTCGTATTTCCTCTTGATCTGGAGTAATTTCTTTGCTGTCCATCTGTCCTGCTGAAGCTGTCTCACAGTGCCATGTCCTTTCCTTGGCGAGTAAAAACAAGAGGAAAAAGAGATGGAAGCCAGCACCCACAGCTGTGTAGCTGAGATTAGGATGAAAAGTTTGGAATAGCAGCGGATGTTTAATTCCCTCCCTGCTGAAGAGCCCAAAGGCAACTCTGGGGTGCTCGTGTGGGGTCGGGCCCTGAGGAACCGCTGTGGGGTGCGGAGAGGGAAGGGGAGCAGCTCTGAGGGAACTCCACTCGCTGGGAGRGGCAGACAATCAGAAGCTGAGGAGAAGGGCTGTGGATCTGTTCAAAACAGGAATCTGTGCGTATGACACCCCGGTGCCGCTCCCGGCAGCCCTCAGCCCCGAACCCCCCCGGTATCACCCTCAGCCCGCGGCCGCCGCTCCGCCCAGCCCAGCCCGGCCCCGCTTCCTTCCGGGCTCGGGCCCGCCCCGGAGGTGCCGTCCGCCCTTCCGCCGGAGCCGAGGGGAGGAGGGACCGAGGGAGGGCCCGAGCAGCGCCGGGGCCGTCAGGGGCTCTGAGGGGCCGCGGCAGCAGCGAGCGGAGCGGAGCGGAGCGGGCGGGTCGGCCCCGCCGCCCGGGGCAGCCGGTGAGAGCCGCGGGGTGAGGGCCCGGCGGTGCCCCGGGATCGGGGACAGGCGGTGGCGGTGTCGGTGTCCCCCGGGTTATAGCTCGTCCTGAGGGGCGGGGGTCGGTGTCCGCCCCGCCGAGGGGCTCCACAGCGGCCCCGCTGCCACCTCGGGGCTGGCGAGGGGTCCCTGGGCCCAACTGGGCCGCAGCGATCGGGATAAACACCGRSATAAACACCGRGATAAACACCGGGATAAACGGGRACTTGGCTAACAGCCTTCCTCCGTGTGCAGCTCCTAAAATTGATTTTTATTAGATAAATATGTATTTCAATTCGATGGGTCTGTGCCGGTCGTTAGCATGGTGCGGGTGTCACTGACAGCTTTGCCGATATGCCCCCCCAGCCTGTTTTGCTCATGAGTTCCTTGTGGATCAAGGAGGTTTGGGCTTTTTTTTTGTAAGTATTGCCGGCTGAGGATTTAAAGTCCTTTAAGCTGAAGCCGGGAGAAGTTTGGAGAGTGTTTAAGGTGCTGAGCAGTGCGTTTTGGATGCTTTTGTGGGCGTTTGTCTTCCTCCATGTGCAGCTCCTCAAGCTAATTTTTATTAACTTTATCTTTAATTAATTCCATGGGCCTGTGCTGATAGTTAACAGGGTGCAGGTGTCACTGATAACTTTACCAATAGTCCCCCACCCCAGTCTGTTTTCCTGATGAGTTCCTTGCGGATCMATGAGTTCTTGGCTTTTTTCCTGTAAGTATTGCCCCTGCCTGGCTTCTCAGTGCGCGGCTGAGGATCAAAGTCCTTTAAAGTCAAGCCAGGTGAAGTTTGGAGAATACTTCAGATGCTGAGCAGTGCCTTTYGGATGCTTTTGTGGGTGTTTGTCACTTCTGTCACGATGTAGCGCTTTGTGGAATTCAGGTTGTTCCCTTGGAGCAGGGAGGTTGTGAGATACTGAAAGATGAATAATGTGCTTGAATTGAAGAAATTCGCTGAGGGGGTGGTTCAATGCTTTCTGAAATCCTGCTGGCCTGTGGCAGGAGCTGGGTTGACTGAGAGGGTTTTACAGGCAGAATTATAAATTAATTTTTCTTTGGCTGAGGAGKGCTCTGATCTGATCCAGTGCTGGTCCTGCACAGTTTGGGATAAAGGGTGGCATYGTGGAGGCTGTGATTTAAATCCACGTTTGACTCTTCATACTTTTGCTGTTTGGTCTCATTTGAAACTCTTTTTGAAGCAGTGAAGTTCCTCACACCAAGACTTTGGAAAATGCACTGAGCTGCCCTTGGTTTTCCAGTTACTCAACAGAATTTTGGGACTCGACCAAAGCAGGCYAGCACAGAAGGACGTGGTGTTTTCCAGGAACAGTGCTTTTTACTCAGGAATTGGATGTGCTGGCCTTCTGGACATGGTTACAAAAGTTGTTTTTTTGCAGCAGGGAGGATTAGCAAGAGAATTGTAGCTCAGTGGAATGTTTTGCTGACCAAAGGAAAAAAAAAAGCCCAAAACAACACAAAGTAGAAAGGGAGAATGGAATATAAAGCCAATTATACCAATTCCTAATAGTGCTTTACACAACAAACTGATAATAAGCTTGAAGGTAGTTCACAATTCTGGTATTTAATTTTGTTTTGTGGTGTTAAGTGAGAATAGCCTTTCTCAGCTCCCTCCTTCCTTGCTCTGTAATCCCCAATTATGCTTGGATTTTTTTTTTTCTGATGATTAACTACTTGTGATCTAAACCTAGACCTAGAAACCTAGAAACCTTGCTAGTGAAGTCCTGTTGAAATGCCACTTGTAACAAGTCAGGTACAAACATTTTGAAGTTTTTCCCCYGAGGTTTTAGGCAACTTAATTTTCATCTCTGTCCAGGTTGGTGTGGCTGGCAAGAACTAATGTGTAGAAGCCTGTTGCTGCTGTTTCTGAGGAGATTTTCGCAGTTCTACCTAATCTTTTTATTCTGACCTGGATTCCCAATCCAGAACACAAAGAGTTTTCAGATRTTTCCTGTGGTTTTGTGGAAAAGCGCAGTTGTGAGTCACATGGAGATGGTGAGATACAGCTTGGTCATTCTGTGGGACAAACCAAACCTGTAGCTTCAGGCCTGTGCTGACATTTGAGGGGAAAATCACATCCCCAAGCTGAGGAAACCGGGAGCTCTGTGGCCAGCAGGATTTTGGAGGTTTGAAGCAATGGCTGCAATTTGCCCCCACAAATGACAGGACTCGGCACTGTGGTTTGTTTGAGGCAGCTGCTCATCAAACAGCGACTATTTCTTTTTTTTGGGACTATTTTTTAGCAGCCTGCCCTGTTTATCCTACAACTGCTGTAGCTGAAATCCTTTAACTGCAGGAAGGATGCACATTAAAAGTGTGAGCRCTGCAGAGACAACACCCGGCTTTCTTGCCTTATTCCGGAGTTGTTTAATGGCTTTTATATTTTCTGTTCATGAGTCTGAGATCATCTTGCCCCACCCTTTCCTCGGGAGGAAATTAGCTCATGGTTAATTACCCTGCTGTTAATTACATGCCTGAGTGTTTGGGGTTACACCTGAATCACGACTCTTTCAGCACGTAGGTTGTTGCTCTTCAGAATTTTGGGGCATTTGYGTCAGTGGTTCTTGGGAATAAATACATTTTAAGGGCGCTTATCTATTGGCAAAATGCACAATTTTTAGAGACCTTAACACAATCCCATCCTTGCACCCTGTGCACTTTCTAACCTTGCAAACCTGTTTTTAATTATTAAAGTAATTGGCTGAAATGTGCTGGTGTATTCAGGCACCGGAAAAATAGGAAACAGCAATTCATATAAGACTTGAGACTTCCTTGATTTTCTTTCTTTTTTATTTTTTTCCCTCTTTCAAAATTCCGTATTTGGGGTTGTCCATTCATGACCAGAGAGTTGCAGTGAGTGATAGTTCATTGTGAACATTCTGTGCTCTTCTGGGATAGCAAGAATTCAAGTTGTTCATGAAGTGTTACAGTGACTTTTGAAAAGCTGAATCACAGCCCAGTGCAAAGACTGGTGTAGGTTGCTGCTGATGGTTGTGTGCCAAGATTTTTTTTGGAAAAAACTTAATTTTTAGGGAGGGAAGGAAAAAAAAAACCACCAAACCAACAACAACAAAAACAACCCAAACCAAACCTGTCTGTTCCCACTCCGTGTTTTCCTGGTTTTAGATACATTTAATTAAGTTGTTACYAATATTGAAACTCAATTATAGAATTAAAGCTACAGTTTTAATTTCTAGTCTTGGTTAATGGAGTTGCTTACAAACTCTTTTTAACAGCTGTAATAATTCTAAATTGCCTTGCAATTTGCTCTTGTTCAAGGTGTTTCTTGATTGACTGAGACCCTTTCTGTCCAGCCTTGAATGTGAGCTTTTCCAGCCAGCTCTTGTCTCAAAGGTGACCTCAGCAATCCAGCCCTAATAAATACTTTATGACCCAGCTGATATCTCCTCACAATCTGCACTGATAAGAAAGGTGCCCTGGCAAGGAAAGGAGGTGGAAAAGAACCAGAAAAACAAGCTGGTGGTGCTGGAGCCCTGGTAAAATCCGTGCTACTCCTAAACCTTCTTTCACCCAGTGCTTTTCCCCAAGCCAAAGCTGTGTCTGCWGTCTGTGTGTTGTGAAAATTGTCTGGGGTTTCTTGCTGAAAAGGAGGTGTTACATAAATTTAGTCTTTCATGTGTGCATTGAATCAGCCCTTGGTGACAGATCCAGTTTGGATTKAATTGAAGGAGCCCCTTTTTTCCTTCCACATAAAAGCTAAGGATGCATCTGCTGCTTGCTGTGACTGGTACCTGCTTTAATAGGTTTAACATAAATTTTTCTGGCTGTTTTTTAAGTCGGTCTGTGTGAAAATGAGAATTTAGTATTTTGCTGTTTTGAGATACAAAAAGGCCAAAATCCTGGAGCAATGATTGCTTCTCCTCCAGTCCCCTTTATGGAATTCTGACAAAACCGGCCTGAGGATTTATGGGCTTGTAACAAAAYTGGTGTTTCCTGGGTCTTAACTCTCTCTGTGTTGTCTTAGTAAACGTTCAAAGTATGTGACAGGGAAAGTGAAGTGGCTTTCAGCCAGAATATTTTGCAGAAAAGTTGGTTTTACTGGTTTGTGCTTCCCCGGTGGTGGTAACTGAAACTCTGCAGTGTTTGCACACACATTCTCAGTTTCGGCTCTGGCAGAGCCACAGAGGGCAGGCAGCTGCTTTGCCCTTCCTAAAAAATATTCTGTGACTTCCYATTTTCTAAAGGAGAGCTGTGATTTATCTCCAGATTGTTCTTGGCTGACAAACTTGACAGGAAAACTCGATGGGTGTGAGCGAGGATGAGGAGCCTTGAAGTTGGCATTGCCCTTCCTAAAGGTGTTTGCTCTAAACAGGTGAATAAAACAAAAAAAAAAATTAGCTAAGTGTGGCTGCAGCAAGAAAAATATCTTCATAGGAAGATGTATTTGAGAGCTTCAGAATAAATGGCATTAAAGCAAGTAGAAAGCTAATTTTGAATTAAACCACAGTGGTTTTTTGTTTGGGTTTTTTTTTTTTTTTTTGCTGTAAGATGCTCTGAAAAAGCTGGAGCTTTTTCAGGAGATCTGATCTCTCTTTCAGGAGATCTGATCTGTCATGAGAGACCTTTGATGTGCTACCCTGCAGATAGATCTGACTTAATGGGAATCATATGCTTCATTTCCTCTTGATTTTCCCTAGAATTTGGAAAAATAAAGCTGGACATGCAGAACAGCAGGGAAAGAAGCAGCTGGAATTTCAGCATGGGAATTCTTGTGGCAGGAAGACAAGGAGCATTTTGGTGCCCACAGCCAGCAATGAGACACCTTTCCAGGCTGTAATTATCCAAAATAAATCCCTCAGGAGCCACCACTGAATGTGAGGTGCAGTTAAAAGATCACAGAAAAGAGTTGGGTGATTTCCATTTTTCCATTTCAGTAGAGAACAGGAGACCAGAAGCTTTTACTTGCAAAGAAATAACATTAAGCAAAGGCATTTTATAAATGAATAATTAAGTCTAAGAGCCCATTCTTTTGCTAAACTCTTCAAAAGGGTGTTGCTAATTAACTGAGATATTAAGGTATGATGAGGTCTAGCTCAGAAGAAGATTCTGGAGTTTGTGGTGTCCTTCCTGATGACATTTACAGGAATTTAAATATGATATGACATGACATGACATGATATGATATTTAAAGTGGTTGAATATATTTTAAATTTATATATTAAACTTGCGCTCCTTGGAGGAAGATGTGGTGCTTCTTGGAGTTGTTGAAAAATGTTTTAACTGGGACACAGGAGATGTAACAATTGGTGCAAAGCATTTCTCCAAATTGTTAATGTTATTTGTGATCTTCTGGTTCTTTATTGTACTTCTAGATTAGATTTTTTTTTTTAAATGTGGAAGTTTGTTACTTTCCTTATGTTTTTGTGAATTCTCAGTGCTCAGGTGGTGTAAAGCTGTTTGGAGTTCCCTGCTTTCCAGTTCCAGAAAAACAACAAATTGGGTTTTTTTTCCTTTGAATTGTGTTAGAAGTGAGCTTTGAGCAGGTCATGCATTCAGAGCAGGAGTGAAAATACTGTGCAAAATGTGTGGTGTGACTGTGCAGACACACTGAGGATTTGATGTTTGGATAAGGAATGATATACCTTGAGCTGGAGCAGGGGAGACAAGGGAATAGAGAAAGGGAAAAAAAGCATTTTAGACACTCAAAACTTCCACCAAAACATTTTTAAGTGTGTAAGATCAAACAGTACACTGCGATTTAGTTGCCAGAAATTAATTTGAGAGCGTTTTTTTCACATTTGGTTTATTAAAATTTGGGTTCTATTCATTTAAATGTCACTGCTGACCTACAGAAATTGGCTGTGAAACTCTTTTTTTTTTTTTTTTTTGTAATGGCTTTTTCTGTTTGAAGGAAACTGAAAGTCTGTGCTTTCCCTGCAGCATGTGACCACTCCTCATGCATTCAGGGTGACCTCCTCTGTCCCTGCATCTGAAGCTGCTGCCACTGCAAACACTGGGAGGGGAGGGAATTGCTCTCAGTGCCCTGACTTTGCAGCTCTTTGGTCAGAGGCCTCTAATGCAGGTGCCAGTCCTAGAAAAAAAATGCAATAAATATGTGTAAAATGTTTTATTGCCATTAATGGTGAAGCTGCTCAGTCAACGTTTTCATTGCAAATCATAAAAAATAAATTTAAACATTTTCGTATCACAGTGATTTCACAGGGATCTCTGTCACCCAAGGAAATAAAACCCTACAAAATCCTAAAATACAAAACCTAATGGTGCTGCTTATTCTGCTTCCTCTGGGCAGAGCTGCTGAGCTTGGAAACAGAACAGAAGTTTATTTTTATAAAGTTTATTTTTATAAAGTTTATTTTTATAAAGTTTATAAAGTTTATTTTTATAAAGTTTTATTTTTAGTTCTGATGTACACACAGGGGAAGCGGGATGCCAGAGGTAACGGTGGCACTGTGGCAGGGGGGAGTTCTGTGGGCAAAAAAGTGATTTTTGTGCCTCTCTGATGGGGGTGAAAGTGAACAACTGCTGGAGAAACTGTGCCGTGGCTTTCAGATTTTGGGGTGGGAGAGAAGCAGGGGCAGGCATTTCATTTTACCCCTTTAATTCTCAAACCAGTGTCTGCAACGTGCTGTTTTTGAGTAAGAACAGACACCTGAATTCTTGAAATTATTGCAATTGCAAAGCTGTTAAAACCTTGCTGTGTGGRTGATAGGATTTTATTGGKTTTTATTTCYTTGGGTGACAGAAAACCTTGTAAAATTTCTGTGAAGTCTGTGGTATGAAAATGTTTTTATTTCTTTTTTGTGGTTTACMATGARAACATTGAGCAGCTTCAYSATTAATGGCAATAAAACATTTTATACGTATTTATTGCTATTTTTTTCTAGGCATCTGCAACAGAGGTCTCTGACCAAAATGCTGCTTTTTGACCAGCTTCTGCTTTTGGGAAGTGCTCTCAAAACTGAATCAGTGAAGARTTTGAGGCTTTTGCTTCCCCTTTCTTTTCAGAATTGTTGCTCAAGGCCGTTTGTGATGCTCTGGGAATGTCCTGAGTGTACAAATCCTGCCAACATTCYGTTCCTGGCCAGGCTGTGCAGCTGACACACACTGAAAGTTTAATTTCTGGGCTCTGAGATGTTGGCAGCCAGGAACTCTCACAAAGACCTTCCTTGAGAAATCAGTAAAAGAAACCAAAACATTTTCCTGAAACCAATGTATTTTATATTTCTCAGTTATTTCTCCATATGGGAATGAAGGAAAGCTCTCAAATATTTAAAATATAGATTTTTTTTTTCATTTTGCTTTGCAAAAGCACATTAATGTCTGTCAGAGTTTTCAGTGGGAAAGAAAAGAAATAATTCAGCTGCTCTCTCGTCTATAAAAATGAGAGCACATKTCTATAAATTATGTCATTAAGAAACTGAGTCCCTTAGTATGCACATCTCTACAATGAAACTATTTTTAGGTTATTTTTAGAAACTCATTATTTCTTTCAAAAATAGAAAAGTGGAAGAAATCTTAATACTTACGTAGATAAGATGGAATATTTAATTTGTTCCCCCCTCAGAGAAAATAATCTGTTTCCTGCTACTTTGCTTAAAATAACTTGATTAGATTAATGGGAAATGTTAAACATTATCAGTCTTTTTTGAAAAGGATAATTCAGCATGGAACAAAAGAGCTGGTACTTCCTTTAATAGGAAACTCTCAGTGGCAGTGACTTTTGTGAATATTCCATCTGCTTTTCTGGGTGATCCAGAGGAGAGTTTGGGTTGTAATTTCAGGGGTAAAGAAAACTCTGATACAGTTACTGATGTTCTTCATTTTGAGAAAAGCAGTTTTCCTCTTGTTTTCCCTATGTGGCATCTCTGGAATGRCAGGAAGGAAAAAGGACTGGATTTACTGGACAAAACCTTGCTGTGATGTCTCTGCTGTCTTGGTTTGTCAGTATTGCAATCCAGACGTATTAAATTAATATTTTAATATGCAGACTATAACCTGATGATCCTGTGCTGCTTTTCTCCTAAAACAGATCCWGCATTTCCCATTAGACCCAGGGAGCTGGAATGCCTTTGGGAGGGAGCTGGGGTGGTTTCTGTCAGGCACCAAAGGCTGCATCCTCGGAAGACAGGCTTGGCACAGCGCTGCTGTAGGCAGGAGAAGCGTTTTGTTGCGCTCACTAAATATAAATCCACGGAGCTGTTCTGTGTGCAGGCAGCCAGTTTAACTCTGCCATAACCTGGAGGAAATGGGGATTTTGCCTTAGCCTGGCTGGCTCAGCTGTGATTCCTCACTGGGCCCTCAAGACACCTTCAGAGCAGTGTGGTTCCTTCAGGGTCAGTTGTCAGACCACAATCCATTCTGTCTCCTATTTGCTCCCTTCRCTGGATTTTGGAACTTTATTTCCTTTTTCCCTTGTTGATTTGTGCCTTTGGCTGTTGGAACAAGGTGCTGGTGAGAGCAGAGCCTTGAGCCTTTGTCCCCTTGGGGCTGTCACTGGGTCCTTGGGCCACTTTCTGGAGCTGTGTGCAGGTTACAGCCCTGCAGGGATGTGCCTTGGGCCTCTGTCCCCTGGCTGTGGGGCTGTCACTGCTGTCCTGGGTCACTTTCTGGAGCTTGTGCAGGTTACAGCCCTGCAGGGATGTGCCTTGGGCCTTGGCTGTGGRGCTSTYASTGGRTCCTTGGGTCACTTTSTGAAGGTGTGTACAGGTCTCAGCCCTGCAGAGTTGTGCTCTGAACCTTTGTCCTCTGGCTGTAGGGCTGTCACTGGGTCCTTGGGTCACTTTTTGGAGCCATGTCCCTAAGCCAGGTCCCAGCCTTGCAGGAATGTCCCAGTGCTGCCCCTCTCTGTGGGATTGTCCCTGGGTTACTTTCTGGGGCCGTGTGCATGTCCCAGCCCTTCAGAGATGTCCCAGTGCTGTCCCTCTCTGTGGGGTTGTCACTGGGTCACTTTCTGGAGCTGTGTACAGGTCCCAGTCCTGCAGGAATGTCCCAGTGCTGTCCCTCTCTGTGGGGTTGTCACTGGGTCACTTTCTGGAGCCCTTTGTCCATCCCAGTCCTACAGGAATGTCCCAGTGCTGTCCCTGGCTGTGGGACTGTCACTGCTGTCCTGGGTCATTTTCTGGAGCTGTGTACAGGTCACAGTCCTGCAGGAATGTCCCAGTGCTGTCCCTCTCTGTGGGATTGTCCCTGGGTCACCTTCTGGAGCCCTTTGTCCATCCCAGTCCTGCAGGGATGTCCCAGTGCTGGCCCTGGCTGTGGGACTGTCACTGCTGTCCTGGGTCATTTTCTGCAGCTGTGTACAGGTCACAGTCCTGCAGGAATGTCCCAATCCTGCCTCTCTCTGTGGGGTTGTCACTGGGTCACTTTCTAGAGCCCTTTGTCCATCCCAGTCCTGCAGAGATGTCCCAGTGCTGTCCCTGGCTGCGGGGCTGTCACTGGGTCCTTGGGTCACTTTCTGGAGCTGTGTACAGGTCACAGTCCTGCAGAAATGTCCCAGTGCTGTCCGTGGCTTTAGGGCTCCTGTTATGTAACCGTGCCCTTCCTCCCTGGCACTCCTCTGGTTGCCATGGAGCTGTTAAATAATTCAAGCAGGTGACTCCTTCCTGAAAGGCAAACCTTCTGAAGAAAGGATTTCCAGCGGGCTGCTGGCCACGGTTCTGTTTTTAACCCTTCTGCTCTTGGCACAGGAGGAAGATGAACCTGAAATCGGAGCGCCGAGGGATCCACGTGGATCAGTCGGAGCTGCTGTGCAAGAAGGGCTGTGGTTACTATGGCAATCCTGCTTGGCAGGGATTCTGCTCCAAGTGCTGGAGAGAGGAATACCACAAGGCCAGGCAGAAGCAAATCCAAGAGGATTGGGAGCTGGCAGAGCGGTAAAGAACCTTCTTTCTTCCTTCAGGCTGACTCCAAATACTATTCCTGCCTTGTATTTTCTGGTCCTGCTTGCTCTGGCTCAGGTTCCTCACAAGTTCTCCAATTTGACCTTTCCAGCAGCAATTAAAATCTCCCTTTTGATACAAAGATGAATATTTATGACATCCTAGTCTAAGAAGCTTGAAAAGGAGATGAAGTAACAAATGTAAACATAGCTCAACCTGCCAATAAATACTTTGAGCTAATTTGCATATGCAAATCTGTATTTCTGTCTAGCACTTGAAAGGGTTAAAGTGATAATTTTGATTAAAAATACCTCTGGATGTGGCTTGGGTATAACCAGCTCCATGATTATACATTTCAGCTGCTGATGAAAAAAATATTGGTTTGTCTTGTCTCTGGCAAACCCTTTTAAACTGCAGGGTTAAGTTTGAGAGCATCAAAGGTCTTTTAGCTTTAATAAAAAGCTTTAATTAAAGCTATTTAGCTTTAATAATTTAGATAATTTTCTAAGCACTTATTTTGTGCCAGCCAATCTAGTTCTCCTCGTGTGATAAATCAGGGCTTGCCCCTGAAAATGGAAGATGTGTTTTCAGAGGYGATAAGCACAGAGGTCATTCATTGTTTTCCTCTTAATCAGTTAATAAAATCTTCATTATTAGGGCAGATTTGCTGCCAGTCTTGGAAGATCTCGAAAATAAATTCCTTATTTAAGGAATTCTTTAATAAGTAGTTGGGAGATGCTGAAGGCACAGATAAGATTGTTGCAGTGAACAGACAGGCTTGTCAACATTGATAAAATACAATTCCTGCCTCAAGAGATTGCAGATCCAGGGCTATTTATGGTCCATCCTGAGCTGGATGGATGATTAAAGACAATTGTTCAGCCTTCTAGCATCTTGAGGGGTGGAATAATTTTAATCCTTTTGCACAGGAGGAAAAGGTGCAGGATTGGTGTGTTTGCCCTCCTCTACCTTAGATTAAAAGCTGGGCTTGGTCTTTGTAAAGTTCAACTCATTCACTCGAGTTTATCTTTCCCAAGACTTTGAAAACAGATTGTGACAGCRGTGATCTGTTTCCCAAAATATTTCTGAGATTGGGACAGGTTTTTGTAAGATAGTAAAGGACTGATTGTGGTAACAGGTTGTGAAACTCAGTGAGAGGCAGGGAGGAAGGCAAGGAATTTACTGCTGGAAATCCTCACTTCTGCCCTTAAAGAATTCAGGGGAAGGTGACCATGGTTAAACCTCAATTTTCTCCCTCCTGACCTCACTATTTAACCCTCCCTCACCATCCTGAGCTCCCCCTCACTTCTACCACAGCATGGAAAGGGTGGGTGCTGTGTAGAGAAGGGAGATGAGGCAGGAAACAAGGATTGAAGATGAGCAAAGGCAAGAATTAACATGTCAAATGAGCAATTAATGATTGCACTGGAAATCAGCTCATTTGTCTTGTTTCTAAGCACTTAAATCAGAGCTGTATTTTTCTAATTCCAGGCTGCAGCGTGAGGAGGAAGAAGCCTATGCCAGCAGCCAGAGCACTCAAGGGGCACAATCCCTAACTTTTTCCAAGTTTGAGGAGAAGAAAACCAATGAGAAGACAAGAAAGGTCACTACWGTGAAAAAGTTCTTCACTGCCTCTTCCAGAGCAGGAGCTAAGAAGGGTAACTCCCCTTTGCTYTTCTGTACCATGTGTTAAATTAAGTGTTTTGGAGAGGTGAATGCTCTTTGCTTTGGCTTTTTAAAATTGGAATAATGATGCTTAAAAAAAATTGAGTGATGAAAAATTGAGTGATGCCAAACAATCTTTTAAACAGAGCAGTGCACTGCTAAAGCTGTGTTTATCTTGCACTGAATGGCATCAGTTAAATGGTGGTGGCCTGGCCCTGCCCTGCTGAGGGGAAGTTCCTTGTCCCTCTGACACACATTCCTGCTCAATTCCCAAATCAGCTCTGCTGTCACACCACCATTTAGGGCTGCAAGGGGAATTCCTCCTGGAGAAGGCAGCAGGAAAAAGGTGCTGCCAGTCACCCCCAACAAACTGCTGTGTGTGAGCAAGACACAAACCCTGAGRTAAAATAGCAGCTGATGTGCCAGAGTGCATCACTGTGACAGCCTCAGCAGGGAAAAGGGGATGTGTGAGCCCTGAACTGCATGAAATGTGAGTTCCAGTGTTTGTGTGTGGGCTGGGAATGCCAGGTTTGTGGCTGGCTGAGTGTTTGTTGCACAGAATGTGTTAAAAGCAGCAATGGTGAGTGGTACTGGTGGCTCTGCATAGCAATGGCTTCCACAGGCACAAACTGGGAAATGCTGGGCTGTGGAGGAGGAATTCCAGAAGGAAAATCAACGTTCATCTGCCTTAACCTTAGATGCATTTCCTTCATTTGAAATCCAGCATATTTCTCATTGGAATGGTCTTTGTGCATGACAGCAGCTGGCTACACGAGTYAAAACCTTTTTATTTTACAGTCATTCTTCTCACTTTTTCCATATTTTCTTTTTTTTTTTATCCCTTCACCACCTGCCCTGCCCCGCTCCCGCTCTCGGTGCCCCGCTTGCTTTGGCCTTTCATTTCAGCAGCTCAAGAGAAAAGCCCTAAGCAAGGACAGCTGGGGAGGGAGAGAAATGCTGATAACATTCTCAGGGATTTGAAGGAGATTTTTACTCCCTCCTGGGAACTGGCTTCCCCTTCTGAAGGTAATGCAGCACAGCCTAGGTGAGCTGTCTGCCTGGTTTTAGTAAGCTTAGCTCTTAGTTGGGCTGTGCTAAGCACAAACTAGGGTTGTGCCAGTTGTAACTCGTGCTWTTCAAGGTGAAGATGGCAAAAAAAACAAGTCCAGAATCCTGAGGTGATGCTGAATCTCTAAACCAATTCTTTGCTCTTTAGTAGGGACTCATAGGAGTGAAGCCGAAGCTTCTTTGAGCTCCACCTCGGGATTAGACACTTCCCCCCAAAAAAAAATTTTGTAAGAAACATGTGCTGCTTTATGTTTTTATCAAAAAAAAGGAAAGAATTCCAGGTTGCTGTTACAAATCTGGTTATTGTAAGTTGAAACTACTGAAGTTGGCTCTTCAAGAACTTCTCAAAACATCTCCAGATGTTTGTTACATAAACCAAGAAGAAAATTTCCTATCCTGAGGAGACACACTGGTTTCATTTAAACCAAAAGGACACCAAACCCCGTGATGCAAACAGCTTTAGGAGCTCATCCTACTTTATTTGTTTGCAATTCTGACTTGTTCTAGAGGAATTTGAAGCTGTCCCGTTGTTTATWTATTAAATTATTGAGGATGATGAAATGTCTGTGTGAAGTGGAGCTGGTAACAAACCCTTTTTCACATTCCRTGCTCAGACTGGGCTCCGTGACCATGGCACAACCATAGTGAATCCCTGGAGTGCTCCTGTTCTGCTGTGACAAATGGCTTTTCTGTAGAAAGATTATAATATTAATAATTCTTATTGAATTTTTAAATTTATTCTTTGTGCAGCTGATCCTTCCTTAACTCTTCCCATGCTCACTCCTGGCATTGTGGCATTTTCCTCTGCTGGGTTCCCTTTAACTTGTTGGAATTTCTTGGCTCTAATCAGCTTCTTTTTAGTTAGACTGATTTATTTGAGAACATGGGACAAACCTGAAAATATTTTACTGCTGGAAGTACATTTGTTCCTGCAGTCTTTGGTAATCAGTGCAGGTGAATTTTCCTGAAATCAGGATTTCAGCTCAGGGATTAATGAAGCTGCAACTACAAGTTGTTCTCAGTCATTAAAAGACAGTTCACTCTAACAAACATTTACTTTTTAATATTTTATATTAATCTGCCTCAGTTGACTAGATCTCTCTCGTTTAAACAACGATCTAGTTTGAATTTGTGACTGAAAAAATAATATTCATATTCCTTAAGGTCAAACAGCAAAATGAGGCTCATTGTTTTTATAACAGAGTGAGCTCATTGTTGAAGTGAATAAATAAATCTTCAGCTGTACTTTGAAATGAGATCAGTGATTAATCATGGAAGAAATAACTGATAATTCTGCCCTTTTCTTGGTTTATTATTTCAAAATAAACTTTCTGCTTCTCCAGTGTTAAATGTGACCAATTTAATGAGTGGCCACCCTTCAGCTGGAATCCTGTGTAGGTTTTGGGACTCACTGCAATGAATTTTAGGTRTAAAGACAATGGAAGGAAATCCCCTCTGGAAAAGTCCTTGTGGAACTAGAAAGGAGTTGAATTTGCACTCTCTATCTCAATTGCTGTGGATGGAATTTAAATATTTGCAAAATAAATATTTGCAACATTTAAATATTTGAACATCTTTTGTGTTCTTGGCACTGAAATACCAGGATTGTTCTGATGGTGCCTGAGCCAGTTCTTAGCCAGAGAAGGTTGTGCTGAAGTTTGGAGCTCTGGGCAGATGAGCAGCRTTTGTTCCTCACTGACTGACAGAACTTTGGATTTCCTCTAGCATGGATCTCTTTAAAAACAACCAACCAAAAAAAAACCCCCACAAGCTCCCTCAAACCCAAATGAAACCGATTGAATCCTATGAATCCCATTTCTTCCTTTTTCCTCTGGAGTTGTGCATGCTTGTTGCAAGCAGGATTTCTGTGCTGTGCATGTGAAGTGTTTTCAGATGGAAAGCTGTGTTTGTCTCGTGCTGACCACAGATATTTTCATGTTTTCTGTCTCTCTGCTGCTCGCTTTTCACCACGTTCATTTCCACCACCTCTGTTCAATCCCTCCATTCCCAACAGCGTTGGCTGGCAAGCTGAAAGGTGGGTGAACTAAACGTGCATAGGGAAGGTATTGGAGCAGCCAAACGAGCTTGGAATTTGGAAAATCCCAATGTTTTAGTGGGGAAAAGCCCTATGGATGCAGCTCTGTCCCTTTGCAGTGTCCCTGAGCTGCGTGTGAGCCCCTCCTGTTGGTGCAAGCAAAGGAGCCAGGAATGTTGAGGGCAGGAAAATTGGGAAAATTACTCCATTACCTTCAGGAAACTGCAGAATCCCATCTGGAAACCTTGATTTTATATGGAGATCTCTGAGCTGGGAATGCCAGTGTGAGAAACCCCAAAGCAACCCCGTGTCGCAGTAATTTCTAATTTATAAAAGCCATTAATGTAAATGGGGATGTGGCTGTAAAAGTTCCCCTTCAGTGCAATTCTCAGTGTTCCTGGGTTTGTGTTTARTAATAATTACTGTGTCTAATAATAATTACCGTGTTTAATAATAATCACTGTGTTTAATGATATCCAGCATTTCCCTGGCAAAGCTTGAGAAATAAATGACCAATTGTGTGCACAGCTGAAAAAAAACCCAAGTATTTGATAATATTTGGATTAAATTGGATTAAATTGGATTAAATTGGATTAAATTTACTAAGAGTTGTTGAACATTTAATTAGTGGGATTTGTCCCTTTCAGTGCCCCCTGAAAAAGTTGAGAAGGCGATGTAGGAGGTTGAGAAATACATAATGACTCGACAGTATAGTTATAAATATATATTTTAAATTAAATTAGATTTATAAAACAGTGGTGAATTCATCCATCAACATAAAAAGTAGATCTGATGCAGCCCCAATTTTCCCAGCAGAGATCCAAGAGGCCAAAGCTCCCAGCCCYTCCATCCACAGGCAGGCCAGCATCGAGACAGACCGAGTGTCCAAGGAGTTCATAGAATTCATCAGAACCTACCAGAAACCTGGCCAGGACATCTATAAACAATGCAAACTCTTTCTGGACACCATGAGTCACAAAAGGGTGAGCTCTGCATGTCTCTTGTCTGAATAAAACTGGGGAAATTGGGCAGAGGGGAGGAAACGCTGCACTTCTTCCAGCAGGTTGCATTTGTGGAGTGGAGAAGGATGGGATTCATCAAATGAAGTTTTTGTGTTTAAGTTCTTACTTTTTGGTAATGTGGGATCTTTCCAACCCCAGGGCTGTCCATTTTATCCCAGATAAATTAGTCCTGATTAAATTCCACATAAACTCASCYAKATTCTTCATAAATATGATTTGTRCAMRTCATAAAGTATTGCCTGGTGAGWTTTTAGATATCACAGAATCACAAAKTGCTTTTTGTTAAAGATCATCTGTTCCRTGGGCAGGGCCACCTTCCACTATCCCAGAGTGCTCCAAACCCTGTCCAGCCTGGCCTCAGACACTTCCAGGGATTTAAAAATTAAAGATAATTCAGCATCAAACCACCCTTCTCCTTTTAACTGGGAAAGGAGAATTTGACTGTGCTGCTTTTTGTAATATGAAATTAAGGTTTACATCTTCACTTCCCGTTAAAATAAAAAGTCAGTGTTCTTGAAATATTCATCAGTCTGTGGTGCCACCTATGGTTGGAATGAGTCAGAATTCAGCACAACTTTTTTTTTCCCCCTTTTCCTACCTTTCCTATTTAGTTCCTCGAATCATCTCCTCACGAGTTCTCATGGAATCTTGCATTCCCTCTACTTTAAAACCTTCTTGAACTTTTCTTTTTCTTTTAGATCTGTTCATTCTGCAGACACAGAGTTTGTGAGAACAGTGTGAGTTTATTTTTGGCTCCAAGCACTGAAAGTTGTTGTCATTTCCTACTTTAGTCTTCTCAAAACATAATTTTTACTACACATAAACCAGACCTAAAATCCAGCTCTGCCAGCAACTTGGCTTCAGGAAAATGTTGAGTTTTTGGCCTTAGAGAATTCAAAAACAAAATTTTCCCTCCACTTTTTAAGATATGTAATTTTATTCAGCCATTTAATGGTGAAAATTGCCTTAATTAGGTAAATTTGAAGCCTTCACACCTCTGTTCCATTCTTCAGGAGCWCAGCGTTGTTTCACAAATAACCCTGAATATATTTCACAGTAACTTCATCATCAGAAATAKCTGCTGGATAGATATTCTTTCAAATAATTCAAATAATTCTTATTCTCAGGGATTTTATCGATAATGAATTGTCTTTTTTAAATAATTAGAGRTTGAATAAGGACAAATCCTGCTCGGTCTGGGTTGTTCTGTCTCTGTTCCTCAGGATGTGCTTGGAGAAAACAGCATTATTTATTATTTATTATGATTATTTATTTGTTCAGCCAATAAATGCAATTTTTTCACATACTAAAAACTTATTTCACTTACTAAAAACATCTTCTGTTTTAAATAAAATTACCCAATAAAATGATTATTTATTATGTCTCGACACCTCTGTTACCACCTTTGCATTCTCAGACTGTTACTGCAGCTGGCCTTAAACCAAACCAAAAAAACCGAGGTGTTTTTGCTGCTGGCAGCTTTTCCACACCAAATTCTTGGGTTTTTTTGCAGGATTTGAGCATTGAGGAGCAATCTGAATGTGCCCAGGATTTTTACCAGAACGTGGCAGACAGATTRCAGACACGCTGGAAAGGTAYYGAGCTCTTCTTCMTCCTTTTCCTGWGGCAAAAGTGATGATYTAAAATTTGAATTTTCAATTAAATYAAAGCATTCCCAGCTTTCAGAAATGCCTGGAACAGSTTCTGGTGTCAGAATTGTTCCCAGCAGCACCAATTGTAGAAAATTTTCCTGTCTAAATATTTGTTTTTACACTTTCAGTGGAGTCCTACCCATGATATTTTTACAGTTTTTATGTTCTAAAATAAATATATTTTATTTTATAATAAATAATAAAAAGGATAAATTTTTTACATATTAAAGTATATATATCTATATTTTAGAGTTATTTTATAATAAAAAAATAAAAAGGATGAAAAATTTTATGTTTTAAACTGTGTATATATATAGTTCAGAATTTTTATATTTGAAAGTGTATCTATTTTATTTTATAATAAATAATCAAAAGGATAATTTTTTATATTTTAAAGTAGATATATTTTCTATAATAAATAATAAAAAGTATAACAATTTTTACATTTTAAAGTATATATATAGTTTAGAGTTTTTATATTTGAAAGTATATTTATTTTATAATAAATGATAAAAAGGATAAAAATTTTTACATTTAAAGTATATAGATCTATATTTTAGAGTTTTTCTATTTTTAAAATTTTTTATTTTAAAACATTCCCATTATATCCATTTATGAAATCAGCTTGGTGTGGATTTGATACTATTTGGATTAAACTTTCCAAAGAGCCATGGAACATTTMATTTGTGGGATTTGTCCCTTTCAGTGCCCCCTGAAAAAGTTGAGAAGGCGATGGATGAGGTYGAGAAATACATCATGACTCGACAGTATAAATATGTTTTTTGCCCTGAGACAACTGATGATGAGAAAAAAGATCTTGCTGTCCAAAAGAGAATCAGGTAAGGGAAAAAACCAATAATTTTAAAGGAAAAATAATTGAGTAATTGCTAATTCTGTGCACAGAAAAATGGYGATGGTTAAAACCATTTTATTTAAAATACAAGAGGAATAAATAGGTTGGATAATGACAACCACTCTGCTGGGAAAATCGGTTTGCTTTTGTTAAATCATAGCCCCAACAAAAATATTTTAAAAAAGGAAATATTTTCCCTGAAAAGGAATTACCTCAGTGGAATAAAGTGGTTTGTGGCTGGATGAATGCCTGGTTCACACAAAGCTCTCCTTGTGCCTGGAGTTCAGGCAGCAGCTGCTTTCAAACACCTGGATGTCACTGGCACCGAAGAGTTTAACCCTTTTCCCTTCCCCCCGCTCCCCTTTTCCCCCTTTTTCCCCCTTTTTTCCCCCCTTTTTCCCTTTTTTTCTTCTTTTTCCCCTTTTTATTTCCCTTTTTTTTCCCCAGGGCTTTGCACTGGGTGACTCCCCAAATGCTCTGTGTTCCTGTCAGTGAGGAAATCCCTGAAGTCTCTGATATGGTTGTGAAGGCAATCACAGGTTTGTGAGTGATGAAATTTACATTTACAGCTTTAAATTTTAAATTTAAATCTCTCATGCTTATTGAGATTTTTTTTTTTTTACTGTCATCAGGGTGGGTCCAGGCTGTTAAATTTTCAGGAATCTTTATGGGTTTGGACTGAAATTTCATCTGTGGAGCGGGAATAATTCATAATAAAAATAATTATTGAAGTGTTGATCCACTTGAAACACTTCCCACAGACAGAAATGATMGATATTAATATTCCACTGTTCATTCAGTGTGTGATTAATCCAATTTAAATAATTTCAGAATTTTTTTTTTTTAATTTTCCCCTGGCAGACATCATCGAGATGGACTCCAAGCGCGTCCCTCGGGATAAACTGGCCTGCATCACCAAATGCAGCAAACACATCTTCAACGCCATCAAAATCACCAAAAAYGAGCCAGCCTCTGCTGATGATTTCCTGCCCACCCTCATTTACATCGTGCTCAAGGGGAACCCCCCTCGCCTGCAGTCCAACATCCAGTACATCACTCGYTTCTGCAACCCCAGCAGGCTGATGACTGGCGAGGATGGATATTATTTCACCAACCTGGTGAGTGCACAGCAGTGCTGGCTTTGTACAGCGACATCTGGCTTTTAGCTGGATGTAGAAATTGCAGAGGAAAACAGAAAATTCATCTTCAAACTGTGGTGGGAGTTGCTTAAAACACAGCTGGAAAAAAAATTCATTTTCAAACAGTGGTGGGAAAAATTAAATTCATCTTCAAACAGTGGTTGGGGTTGCGTAGAACACAGGTGGGAAAAATAAAATTTGTCTTCAAATAATGGTTGGAGTTGCTTAAAACACAGCTGAAAAAAAGAATTCATTTTGAAACAGTGGTGGGAGTTGCTTAAGTCACAGGCGGGAAAAATAAAATTTTTCGTCGAACAGTGGTCGGGGTTGCGTAGAACACAGGTGGGAAAAATAAAATTCATCTTCAAACAGTGGTTGGGGTTGCTTAAAGTACAGCTGAAAAAAATAAAATTCATTTTCAATCAGTGGTTGGGGTTGCTCAAATCACAGGTGGGAAAAATAAAATTTATCATCAAACAGTGGTCGGAGTTGCATAGAACACAGACGGGAAAAAGAAAATTAATCTTCAAGTAATGGTTGGAGTTGCTTAAAACACAGCTGAAAAAAAAATCATTTTCAAACAGTGGTTGGGGTTGCTTAAAACACAGCTGAAAAAAAAATTGTTTTTCAAACAGTGGTGGGAGTTGCTTAAGTCACAGGCGGGAAAAATAAAATTTATTGTCAAACAATGGTTGGGGCTGCTCAAATCACAGCCGGGAAAAATAAAATTTTTCGTCAAACAGTGGTTGGGGTTGCATAGAACACAGGTGGGAAATAAAAAATTCATCTTCAGTGGTCGGGGTTGCTTAAATCACAGGCGGGAAAAATAAAATTTATCATCAAACAGTGGTCGGGGTTGCATAGGACACAGGCGGGAAAAATAAAATTCATCTTCAAATAATGGTCGGGGTTGCTTAAAGCACAGCTGAAAAAAATAAAATTTGTCTTCAAACAATGGTTGGGGTTGCTTAAATCACAGGCGGGAAAAATAAAATTTGTCTTCAAACAGTGGTTGGGGTTGTGTAGAACACAGGCAGGAAAAATAAAATTCATTTTCAAACAATGGTTGGGGTTGCTTAAAACACAGTTTTATCTCCTCTAAAGCACAGTTTTATCTCCTTTCTTGCTTTCTTTACAATTTCAAACCCATCCTATGAAAATCTGGTGCCAAGGTTTGGGTGTATTTTTATCGTGCAAGGAAATGAGGATTTTCTGTGCCTCAAAGCCTGAGTTTGGGCTGGTTTTGATCAGTTTTTGGCTGATCAAATAATTAAATATTAATTACTTGTCATGTTCCTGCTGGCCCCTCACCTCCCAAAAGCAGCAAACCTGAGTTTGGAAGGTATATTATCAGCTGGATTTTTGATTTTTTTTTTAGACTCTGGGGAGAAGGAAGAGATGTATGAGTTGTCTGATAAAATACTGGAAAAAGCTCATATTGAGGCATTAAAAAAAATTTAAAAATCGATTCCTGGTGTGTGAAAGAGGAGGATTGAAAAACAATATAAAAATTTAAAAATTGGTTCTTGGTGTGTGAAAGAGGAGGATTGAAAAAAAAAATTTAAAAAAATCAGCTGCTGCTGTCTAAAAGGGGATTGAAAAAAAGATTAAAAAATTTAAAAATTGGTTCCTGGTGTGGAAAGAGGAGGATTGAACAAAAGAATTAAAAAATTTAAAAATTGGTTCCTGCTGTGCAAAAGTGGAGGATTGAAAAAAAAAAAAAAATTTAAAATTTCAAAATCGGCTCTTGGTGCGTGAAAGTGGAGGATTGAAAAAAAAAATTCAAAAATTTAAAAATTGGCTGCTGGTGTGAAAGAGAAGGATTGAAAAAAAATATTTAAAAATTTAAAAATCAACTGCTAATATGAAAGAGGAGGATTGAAAAAAAAAATTAAATCAGCTCCTGGTGTGAAAGACAGTAGAACAGGTACAGGTCTGTGGCAATTGCAGTTTTGCAGTTTTGCTCTCTCTGTTTTCTTTGCAGTGCTGTGCCGTGGCCTTCATCGAAAAACTGGATGCTCAGTCCCTAAATCTGAGCCAGGAAGATTTTGATCGTTTCATGACTGGCCAGACCTCCCCAAAAAAGCAGGAATCCGACAGTTTCTCCCCAGATGTTTGCCTGGGAGTCAAGCAAATGTGCAAAAGCTTAGACCTCCTCTCTCAGCTGAACGAGAGACAGGAGAGAATCGTCAGTGAAGCCAAGAAACTGGAGAARGATCTCATCGATTGGACTGATGGCATCACCAAGGAGGTGGAAGAGATTGTGGAGAAATATCCCTTAGAAATAAAACCCAAAAGTCAAGCCTTAGCAGCCATTGACTCTGAAAACGTGGAGAATGACAAGCTGCCCCCGCCGCTGCAGCCTCAGGTTTATGCAGGATAAATTCCCGGGGGCGGCTTGGAAAAGCAGCATTAATCCTCACCTGGCTGGGAAGGGAAAAAAATTTAAGGCTAAAAAAAAACCAACAAAAAATATCAGATGAGCTTAAATCAGTACATTTTTAAAAGTACTTCCGTTTCCTTTCTTTTTTTTTTTTTTTTTTTTTTTTTTGGATTAAGTGTAATGACTTGTATTTATTTTAGTCCTGTAGGTTTCTATTAGGCTTTTGTGGGATTTTGGAACTGAATTTCAATTTTCTACACGACCTGGTGTAATTTTTAAGCAACACTAGCCCGTTGACATCTCTCCTGAAATCTTCCTTCTAAGCATGCACTTAATTGTTTTTAATTAATTAGTTTAACTTGAAGCCAAGTTCCGGCAGAAACTCCAAAAAAGGTACCACTGTTAGTCTGAACTTATTCTGTAGCTGTAAAGATGAAYTATATATTGTAAAATATGTACAATTGTAAATAGATTTCAAATCTAATGTCCCAACTGTGCATGAGCTCGTGTTTGAGTGAAAATGATCTGAAAAATKTTCATTTTAGCATCTTTCAGTCCCATGGGGTTGAAAGGCAAAAACGCTGTTGGAATTTGGAGAACCTGGATGGGAGGAGTGATGAATTACAGACACTCAATCTTCTTTGTTTAAAAAAAAATATTTAAAAAATGACATTTCTTCATTTAAATGCTCTGTCAGAACACCTGGGAGCCTGAGTGGTGCACAAAATGCTGATTTTATTGCTTTGGAAGGGAAGGTGGAGCCAGAAATAGAAAAGAATTCAGAAATACTTCTATTTAAAATTGCATAATGTAGAACAAAAAGCGGGGAGGGGAARGAGTTCATGAAAGAATTGCTCCAAAAGTGGTTTTCTCTTTCGGTCATTTCCATCAGTGGGATAAATTTCGGTTGCTTTTTTTTGACAATCCTGGGAAATAAATCACTTCATATAATTCGAGGTTGCTTTTTGGAAGGAACAGGAGCAGAAAATGCACTTTATTTCCACAAAACATCAAATTTCTGCTCTTCAGTGCCCCCTTCAGCACCTTGAACAGCGAGGTAAAAAYCACTTCGTGTCACTAAAAATTCAGCTTGGGGTGAGATTCCACAAAAAGTAACCTCTTGCACCAGAACTTTTTTTTTATCAAACRTTTTCTGTGTGATTTGAAATCTCATCTCAAACCTGAAGCTCAGCTGGAACCACTTTTAAGCGATATTGAGTTCTTTGCCATCGAGGAGGGAAGCACCTACCTCTTGATTAATTAATTAATTGCCACTCCATTATTAAATTTGCACTGCAATAACTTCAGACCCACGACTGTGATTTGTCCTTTTTCCAGTCCATTTTGAGCCTTAGGAACTCTGCACCACCCCCGGTGTTCCGGAGAAGCAGCTCTCAAAAAAAAAAAAAACAAAACAAAAAAAATCCAATTATTCCGTGTCGCTTGGGTAAATAATCCTGGGATTTCTTTACTTCTGMCATCCAGCTGCACCGGTTTGTCCCGGGGAGGGGTGGGGAAACAAACTTTTAGCTATTGTGTGTAAATGACCGTGTTTAAATAAAAATTCTACCCTCGTTAATGAGTCCCTGAACCCCTCCTTGGCGGCTTTTGTGACGCTGTTAATGATTAATGATTAATGACCCGATAATTGGAGCTCCTTCTGCATTCTCTGGGCAATTCTTGGCCGTTCAAATGCGAGGCTGGGTAATAATATTTAGGKTTTTTTAAATTTTSTTTGCAGAAAGGTCATTAATAAGCTCTTCACAACGTTTTTGTAACTGAAGTATCTCTTACTCACGTGCCATCTTCTCATCGGGCCGCTAAGATAAATAAAATTTTCAGTAAATAAATCAGGTAAATGTGATCTTCTCCTACCTGGAAAGCACAGARCTGCTCACAAGTTTGGGTAAAACACGGTGAGAGACCCCAGTGCTGCAAAATCCATGAAAAAAACCAAATTATTTGTGAATTAGAAAGTTTGAGTGAAATCTCATCCCTTAAAGCGATTTAAAATAGACGTGCTGTGCTGTCACAGCATCAGAAATTTGATTTTATTTTTCAAAGCCCGCTGTTAGTTCGGTATCACTGCAAACAAAGCTCGCTGGATTGGATCTTYTATTGTAAAATACTTCTTTGCGTGTGAACTCCTCGGTTTGTTTCGTTCGGGAAAGAAGATATTTTACAGGAAATTAATGGTTGATTGAACTGTGCCRCGGCCTTGGTTCCACACAAGCGAGCTATGAAATTAAATTGATTTTTCTCCTCATTACCATGGATGTCTCCACGGTCTCTGGTGTATTTGGGGCTGGGGAGGGASGCACTGGCAGATTCTGGAGTTTGGGATGGTGGCGTCCCCGTGTGACATTAATAAAGRATTATTAATRTWTTATTATTATTTATAGTGATAAATATCAATGAAGGTGATGAGGGTTTGCTCTGTTGCGCCCTTTGCTTTAAGGCTTTAATTCTGARCACTTTTAGATATTGCGCACCTTGAGGAAACAAAATAAAAAAGATGTTCGGGGTGGTTTAGAGAGGAAAAGGGGATGGGGACGGTGAGAATTGGGGAGCGCGGGGAGAACGCGCTGAGCGGCCGGGCCGCTTCCCGGAGCCGTTCCCGGTGCCCTTCCCGGTGTCATTCCCAGCCCATTCCCAGCCCGTTCCCGGCCCATTCCCGGTGCCCTTCCCGGTGTCATTCTCAGCCCATTCCTGATGCTATTCCCGGCCCATTCCCAGCCCGCTCCCGGCTTATTCCTAGCATATTTCCAGCCTGTTCCCGGTGCCATTCCCGGCCCATTCCCGATGCTATTCCTGGCCCATTCCCAGTGCTATTCCCAGCCCATTCCCAGACCGTTCGGGTGCCGTTCCCAGCCCGTTCCCGGTGTAATTCCCGGCCCATTCCCGGTGCCATTCTCGGTGTCGTTCCTAGCCTGTTCCCGGTGCCATTCCCGGTGCTATTCCCGGTACTATTCCCGATGCTGTTCCCAGCCCGTTCCAAGTCCATTGCCGATGCTATTCCCAGTCCATTCCCGGTGCTATTCCCAGCCCATTCCCGGTGCTATTCCCGACCCATTCCCAGCCCGTTCCCGGTGACATTCCCAGCCTATTCCCGGCCCGTTCCCGTCTCGTTCCCGGCCCATCCCCGTTCCCCGCCCCCCCGCCGGCCCCTCCCGCGCTTGTCCCGCCCCAATCTTGTCCCCCCCGCGCCACCGTCGGCGCGCGCGGCGGGTGAGGGGTCAGGGCTGCGGCCCGGAAGCGGCGGCGGAGGCGGGGCCCGGTGCCGGGGCCTGTCCGTGTGTCCGGCCCGGGGGCTGCCCGGGGAGCGGCCTCTCCCCCCCCGCCCGCCCGTGCCCGCAGCCCCGGCAGGGCAGGACGATGGTGCAGAGCCCGCCCGCACGGCAGCGCCGCCGCCTCTGAGCCCCGCCCGGCCCGCGGGCCTCAGCCCCGCCGCGGACGCCGGTAAGGAGGGGACGGGGGCGGCTCTGAGGCCCGGCCCGGCGGGGTTTGGGGTCACCCCGAGGCCTTGAGGCCGCTCCGGGGTTGGGGAGGAGGGGAAAGCACCGGCAGAGCCCCCGGGGAGCCTCGGGCTGCGACATCKCCGCGCTGCCTCCCGAGCCTCGGGTCCCGCTTGGCTCCGGGGTGAATTGGCKCGGCTGCGGGGTTGTAGCCTTGGGTTGTCTTTATTATTTACTTAAGGAAAATATAGCGGGAAAGATCGTCAGCTTGAAGTTTTAATGTGTGGCGTCGTACCAGGAAAAAAAAAAACCAGCGAAAAATAATAATTTATATAGCTCTAAAAATAGTTGTGGTTCAAAATAGCTTCTGAACGGTGATTCCTGCGTTGGGGTTTTTCTTTTTTTTTTTTTTTTTTTTTTTTTTGTTTTTTTTTTTTTTTTTCCCCCAATTTTTTTTATATCCGTATTTCTTCCTCTTTCACTTTTTGGAGGTTTGACTTGACTAATGATCTCATGATGGTTTTAATTAAAAAAAAATCCTGGTGCATCATGCTTGGAATATGGCTGCTCCATCCCTACCGTTACGTCCCATCACCCTGGGAAAGAATTTATTACAGCACAGCTGGATTGTTTGGGTTTTGGTTTTTTTTTTTTACTTTTTCCCTTTAAGGATTTGTCTTTGGGGGAAATTTATTTGCAGGATTGGCTCTGGAGGTGCAAATTCTCCGGCTAAATTTGCCCAGGCAGACAAACCTGGAGCGTAGATAAGGATTTATTAAGGTTTGCTCTCCACATCCGCGCTGAACTTCCACCAACTTTGGCCGGTGGTGGGAAGAAAACCCGGCCTTGCTTGGTGTGGTAAATGATTATTGCGCTTTCCCAAAGGCTGATTCACAGGAAATACTCCCTAATCCTTGTGCCTCTGGGCACGACAGAACGGTTCGAGTTTCACCGGCTGAGTTTTTGCCGCTTCCCTGCACCTGCCTGTGCCCGGGTCTCCGGGAATCRGCTGCTGGCTGCGATCCCATTCCTGCTCAGCAGGTGTGCGCAGCACACAGATAACTTTTGTGGCAGCCCGAGCTCAGATAATATTGAATTGTGGCTCAAAAATGCTCCCCGAGYCCGGCCCGGGTGCCATCTAAGAGGATTAAACCCCGGGTGGCTTTGTTCCCTCCCGTGATTTGAGGAGTGGCTCGGCCGCTGCTGGAATGTGATTCTGCTTTTCCACTTGAAAGACAARAACTTGAAAGGCCACCTGATAAGACAGAATAGGCACTGTGCTCTCAGAGAGTCCAGCAGCGCTCAAACCAGGGGACAAACGGAGCTCCGTGTCCTTTGTGAGCCGAGGGACGGCAGCGACAGCGCCGGGCACATCCAGCGCCTCTGCTGGGTCCCTCCTGGAGCGGCCCCGGAGCTGAACCTGCACATCTGGTAGCTGGGATCGCCTTCTTGTTCATTAATAGCATCACAGGTTTTATAAAAACCTATCTATTTTATTAATTATGTCTAAATTATTAACGAAACTTGCCGGTGTCAGAATTGTGCTGCTTTTCCCAAGCCTCGCCTTGCCCAAAGAGGTTATTTGTGAACTAGAGAGTTTAATTGAAATATCATCCCTTAAAGCGATTTAAAATACAATTGCTGTGCTGTACAGTCACAGCATCAGAAATTGGATTTTTTTTTTTCAAAGCGTGGCTGGGTGGGAGTTTAGTTTTGGATAATGCTGCTTCCCAAGGACTCAGAACTCCCGGGTTTTGTTTTGGAAGACTTGTGTGTGTGCTGGCATTTGRGGGTTTGTTAATGTGTAAAAAGGAAGCTGAATTCACCCGAGTTTAGGCTGAGCACACTGAGTTTCCTCAGAATATCCCAACCATGGCCTTGACAGCTCAGCTGTTACCCAGGTCCCTCATGTTTTTTTTGCTGCTGTTCCCGTTTCCATTAGTGTCCCCTACTGCTTCTCTCCCTTCTCTCCATACCCAAACTCTGATTTTGCTGTTCCCCAAAGCTGCCATTTCCTCAGCTYGTCACTCATTTTTTCTGCTTGTGATTCAAGCTGTGTATCTGTCTACATCCCTGTCTCCTCTCACTTCTCATCACAGGCTGAAGAGCCTTTTCCTGGCATTTCCCTGCTCTTCCACTGCTGAATTGGTTCTCACATTCCTTAATGAGTGGCTTTAATGAAGTCAACAATTAACCTTGAACTGGTCACTCAACCAGTTTCTGATTATTAAACACTTGCTGAGAATTTTCACTCCTCTTGATTAAAGCCATTCTGTATTTTTGGCTGTTGTCAGTAGAATTTACACAAAATCTGATTTCTCAYGGCTCTTTAAAGACCCTATAAAACAGAATAATTTTACTTTTCCCTTCCTCTCCCAGCTTCTCATGCTAAGCAGCAGTAACCAGAACAGCATTTTTAATACAAATTCAAAGCCTTTCCCCTATTATTGAGTGTTTTATTGCAGTCTGGCTGATTTGGGTTATGGTAACTCCTGCTGTCATAAGTCATGGCTTGGACTTGGAAAAGCTGGAAGGTTTAAAAATGCCCACGGGCTCTCTTAGATGGAAGTGGATTCATTCCCATGGCTCAGGCTCTTGGCAGCAGGCTCTTGCCTGCTTCAAGTTTGGCACYGAAATGTCTCATTTCCAACCAGAGGTTGGGTTCATTTTGATTTTACAGCTGGCTATGTTTTAAATTATGTTTTAAATTACGTTTTTCACTTGCAACAAAAGTAAGAATTCAGGGTTCATTGAACCTTCCTCATTTTATTTCTCCTTCCTGACTTTTAACTTTCCTTCCCTTTTCTCATTCATCATCTTTTAAGAACTCGTAGCATATAAAAAAAATACTGGAACTTGTTTGGATTTATCCGTTTCTGCACGAATTTTTCTTCCAGTGGGAAATAAAAACTCAACTTTGCTGTTGTCCCAGGAGTATCAGCTGGCACAAAGTTCAGGTACTTGTGGTAAATCCAGCAGACTTTTTAAACAACACAAGTCTGTTGGGAAGGGCTGTCATAYGCAGATTGAGTAATGTTTGTTTTCCTTTTTATTTCTTACATCATCCACCTTTTATTGTACGTTTGCTGTCTTTATAGAGAGCTAAAGTCAGGAATTTCAAGTTCAGTATCCACTTGATCTTTCAAATTTTCCATAATTGACCAAACTACTTYCCTTCCTTGGCTTTGTTTCGTGAAAAGTTTGCTGTCTGTGTTGCTCTTGGGGATGTTGAAATGATTAATGAAGCTTTGAAAAATGTTTGGAGAGGTGAAAAGAAACATTTCAGGCAAGTGTGAAGCATTTTGCTTCTTTCTATTCATGCAAGTCCCCATATTTTGTTAATATTCTGCACCCTGATCCTTTATTGGGATCCCAGGAGGAAGGAATGCAGCTTTCCCCATGTTATGTTAATATTCTGCACCCTAATCCTTTATGTCCTTTATGTCCTTTTGCCCAAGTGCTGCTGTCCTCCTGCCTCTCTCTGTGTTATTTGCCCTTCCAAAGCCATTTTCAGCTTCCAGGCTCCAGAAAAATACTTTTTTTTTTTTTTTTTTTTTT